CAAATCGAAAAAAAGTAAACAGAGGATTTGATTTTTGAAAAGTGATCTATCATAGTATTAACATTGTGTAGGAGAGTAGTGGCTGAGAGTCTGGTTAATAGGAAGGACAAAGTAGAGGAGTTACTGGAGTAAAAGATCTGGCTGGGTTAAAGACCAAATACAAGAGTACTACCAAGACAAGGGTTACATACTTCCATCCCTGAATTTGTGTTGAATGGGAGAAGTAATAGTGTAACCAGAAAGTTCTTTGGAGATAAGAAATTGGGGATTGGTGTGATTAGACTTTTTTTTGTTTTGTTTTTTGTGTTTTTGTGTTACAGTCTTGCCATGTAGTTCAGACTAGCCAAGACGCTGGCCTTGAATTCATAATGATCCTCCTGCCTCAGCTTCTGAGTGCTAGGAATGTACCACCACACCCAGCAAGACCAGGTTTCTTAAGAGAGGTGATCTGCTACCACAGCACTTCTCAAACTTTTGCGTATGAGAATCACCTGGGGGTCTAGTTAAACTATTGGTTCTCATTCATTCTGCTTCATTTCTAGAAAGCTCTGTGATACTACTAAGACCATTTGTTCTCAGACCACATTTTGATACCACTGCCACTCCACTTTGGCCTATGCCAGGAGGGACTTGAGGATAGACTGTGAACCAGATGCCAGAGAGATTAGTGACCACAGGCGTGTGCCTCTGTGTTTAATGTTAAGAGGAAGTACAGAGAAGGATGGCAGGTAGCACTGCTAAACCTCACAAGAGCAAATGGTTTGCTTGCTTGTTTGTTTTAAACAAGAGTACATAAGTGAAATCTTGAAGTTACACTTGCAAGTGAGGAACTCAGTGATTCTTACGTCCTGATTTTAAGCTCATGGGGAGCGTGTGAGAGAAAGCAATTTTTTCTCCAGATCTCAAAAGGATACTGTTTTTTGTTTTGTTTTGTAAGACTACTCACTTTGTAGTTACTAAAACTTAAATCATTGTGGAAAACATTTAGTAAAGAGGTGTTTGCAAATCATGGAATAGGATTTAGAACAGGTGATTGGGATTTGTGGCAAAGTATGTACAAGGAGTGGGGTAACCAGGACATTTACATCAGAGAGAAGAAAGATGACTTTAGCTGGTATCCTAGAGGTTGGTGAACAGAGAACTTAGAATTCAGCTCTTGTCCATGGAAAGTGAATCTGATGTGTTTAATGCCAGGCTTGCAGTCTTTTGGGTCTAGTGATCTAATGAGCTACTGTAAGCACCAGGTTGCTTTGCATTCATTGTTCAGTTCATGAGGACTAAACGGATGTGTGTACAGTGAAATATGACCTGTGTGGTGGTATGTTACTTGCAGAGTTTGAGAAAATATAAACTGTTCAGTGTTTACTTTTGCCTCCAAGAAATAATAAATATGTAAGGCAGAAGTAGATTGAAATGAGTGCTCTTTAAAGTACAAGTGACCATGACAGTTTTGATCATATTTCATGGAAGTATTTACCATAGAGTAAGACAGAGAGCTAAAAGCTGCAATTATTTTCTTTGTATGAGAGAAAAGTGTACAGATGTTGTAAATATTTGACTGCTTCTCATTAAAATCCCAGCATATCTTTGGTAAAGCTTAGCCATATCACAAAATTTGTTTGTTTGCATTAGTCAAAACAGTTCTTATTAGCTCTAGTACGGTTTCTTCATTGTTTTTGATAATTGGCTCTCAATTTGTTTTGGCCTTTGTTTTTAGTTTCAGAAACTACCAATGATTCAACAATAGATGATGTGGTTGAAAATCATGTTGCAGACCAACTTTCATCAGACATTACACCAAACGCTATGGATACTGAATTTTCAACATCTTCTTCAGCCAGTTTATTAGAGCGACCAACCAATCATACAGAGGCTCTTGGTCACGACCATTTAGGAACTAATGACCTCAATGTTGGTGGGTTTTTAGAAAATCATGAGGAGCCAAGAGATAAAGAACAGTGTGCTGAAGAGAATATACCAGCATCTTCACTCAGCAAGGGAAAGAAATTAATGCATTGCAGAAGCCATGAAGAGGTCAATACTGAACTAAAAGCACAAATAATGAAAGAGATCCGAAAGCCGGGACGAAGTATGTATACTTAAGAGACAAACTTCAGATTTAATATCTCTGTGTGCCCAAAAAACCAAAAACAAGTCAACTAAAAGTGTTGATCTGACTCTAGGTAGTTATGAATAATATCTGAGCTACATAAAATGTGATTGTTTATTCAGCTTGAAATACTATCTGCTGTATTCAAAGTACAAGAGTACTGGGTATGGTGGGCAGCAGGGACTGAGAGCCAAGAAAAACAGTACAGCTAATTGTGTGTGTATATTTCTACCATGAGAGGAACTCAAAGAGTTTTGAGTATTCTATGAACCAGCAACTTTGGAATTTTAAATAGCAGCTAACCCAGAAACATGTAGTGAATATTAAATAACTTCATATCTATGATGTTCTTGTGTGTGTTATTGTGCCTGCTACTGTGTTTAAGGTAGTGACCAGGGATATATTTGGGCCAAAAAATAAAGTTATGAGAGCTATTTAACATATGAATACAAAAGACCTTGGTGGGGAAAATTTTTTGAGACTTAATTGGCATTCATTCAGAAGATGTTATAACAGTTTACCAACCTCAAAAGTACAGTGACCTATACGTGAGCCAGAGGTAGGTAAGATTCAGACTTTGGCAGAGTTGTAGGTAAAAACTTGAAAAAGCTCCCTTAAGCTGTGTTGTTTGTCCCTTCACTTCCATTCCCTCGTGACTATCTCCATGTTGTTTGTAGTTTAGAATTTAATAATAAGGATGAGTTTTTGTGAAGGCAACTTATTTACCTCTTTATTTTTCAGCAGAACTTGTTTGGTACCTCAGTGAAAACTTTTGTCAAAAAAGCAGTGTTTTGACAAATTGTTTGATCTTTTTTGATATATATTGTTTCACACATTTATGTCGAAATGTACTGTAAAATCCTTTAAGAAGTAAAGATTCTAGGTACAATGTTTTTGTTGCACTGTATCTTAATTTAAAGCTGTAAGAGAAAAACACTGAATAAGAGTACAAATGAAGCCACTTACTTTTTTTCTTTTTTTGCTTCTCTCGTTTTAAGAATATGAAAGAATTTTCACTTTACTGAAGCATGTGCAAGGCAGTTTACAAACAAGACTAATATTTTTACAAAATGTCATTAAAGAAGCATCAAGGTAAATAAATAAACTTTTGTATGCTAACTGGTAATGAAATGAGTTTCTAATTTTATCTCTAGGTAGCATTTTAATGATATCTGTTATGCACTTGTGTTGTTCATTCATACACATAATATACCAAGATATATGTATATTTATTAAGTTTATTGGAAACAATTCACTTAAAACATTGCCACACAAATTCTTCAGAAATTAGGACTTTTTCTCTCTGAAAATTACTGGATGCTTTTTCAAAATTGTTGGCTACTCTTCATTGTAGTCTTTTGCTGTCTTCATGGCCTATCATTTTTATCCCTGTATATTAATTAGTTGTTAGGAATAACCCAGGAAGCAGTATTTAAATGCAGTTTGTTATTTTACCTGGGAAGACATATCAAAGGGAGCAAAGTTGAACAAATGGTTCTTACTTTGATTGTTTCAGTATCCCAGGTTTACTGTAGTATAAGGAATGTGAATCAAAATTATAAATCTAACTAAAAAGCTTATTTAATTGGGAAATGTAGTTGTACAAGCTTAAAAGCATACTTTATTCATCAAGGATTAACTTTTATTGTTATAAGAAAACTTAGGGTTTATTTCATCTGACTTTCCAAGTGTAAATATATCCTTTAATCAGTCTCTTATTGTCCATGTTATATATAAAGGTTTTAGGCAAGTTTTTGTTTGTTTGTTTGTTTTTTGTTTGTTTTTTGGGTGGCTAATACATGGTTCACTTTGAAGGATCAAGATAAGGCCATGAATTACACATAGTTTCTATTCTTTATGATAAGACCTTTTTGCTTTTTGGTCGGCTCAAACTTCATCCTGGATTTAGCAGGATACTATCTGTATAGCTTTTAAAACAGATGTGTAGTATTGTGGCTGTTCATAGAGAAGAAATAACATGTCCAGAGTTTTAAAGACCATGAGAGCTGTTTGTATTTATATAGTATATAAATGAATGCAGTTTTCTCTTACCTATATTTTGAAAAATTTTAAGATTTGCCACTTGAACTTTTAACATGTATTTATGGCCTAGGTTATAGCTGTCTAATCTTTGACTTGTTAGCTTTTAAGTTGTAATAGTAGTAGACATGGATTTTAAATGCTACTGCTCAATTTTCATTTTCCTTTGCGTTTTGTGAGGAATGGTATTTGTACTTCATTCACATTCCTTTCAGCTCTCAGTTTTGAAAGGACATGAGAAGATACTACAATAATTGCTCTGGGATCCCAAATCTGAGTATTTGGAATCCTTGTATGTATTGGTATGCATCCTCCTTTTTTCTCTTTAATCTTTGGCTATAGGAGGAATAATGCCTTTCCCACTGTCTCTAGGACTAGCTTTTAGGCACAAACTATGATACTGTTCTATACAAACAGTAATTTGTAAATCTTCCAATAGATTTTATGTCATAGAGTATTGATTTTCCATTTCCATTTCACTTTGAAAAATTTTCCCAGTAGCAACTGTTTTTATTTTTTAAACATTGTGTTGGTATATACTAAGCATTAAAAAGTAATTGAGAGTGCTATTATTTATTTTTTTCATGCAGGTTTAAAAAACGAATGCTAATAGAACAACTGGAGAACTTCTTGGATGAAATTCATCGAAGAGCCAATCAAATCAACCATATAAATAGCAATTAAACAATAGAATGTGGCCACTTATTTCACTGTCTTCTCCAAATACAAAGTAAATACAAGACTGTTGTGATCTTGCATTCATTTTTTGACATGCATTGTTGGATATTTGAAGTACTAAAAGCAAGTCTACAGATCCTTTTTCCATCATTTTACAGTGACCTTTTCTTCATTTTGGTTTATTTTTGTAATGTGAAGAAGTATCTAAAAACATTTTTATTTAACAAACTAAAAATATTCCTCCAAATCTCTTGCTTGTCATTGACTCTGCGTGTCAATTTCCCTCAGGTTCTATTTTCTTAATCAACCTTTAAATTGTCACCTCTGTTAAGGTTGAACTTTGCCAAAAAAAAAAAATTTAAAAAGTTACTTTGAATTTTTGGGGAAAAAAGCACATACATTAAAACTAGGTAATGTTTTGTATATACAGTTATTTTGGATATATTATTGTAAGTTGTACAAATGTATTTTGAAGAATATTTAAGAAAAGCACTTTTGTTATCCCATCAATAAATGCTCTATTTTACTCTTGCGTGGTTTAGGAAATAATCACATTTAAAATAGTCATTGAAAAACGTCTGAATAATGGAACTTTAAAGGCCTTGCTTTTTAGCATTGGAAAATACATCACTTGAAGTTATATTTGTTAAACATAACTGTAATTACATGTTACATAATCTGCATTGTCTTTTTACTATATGTCCGTAGTTTTTCTTGGTCATGCCAGCATACTCTTATTTCTGCCTCAATAATTGGAATAGGTATGCCTGCAGCAGATAGGCAGATACTAACAGGACAATTGTGGCTATTTTGATTTTTATACCTTTTCCTGTCTTACGAGAATTGTGGGTGACACTTAGTTGAAGTCATTAGTTAGGAAGTATTAAATTTGGGGTACACTACATATGCGGAAGTTATCTACCAACTTTTGACAGGTTGGCACCGTGTCAGGTTTATAAAGCCTGCAGCACATTAAGGGTTCAGAGGAGGATCTCTTCCTTGTACTCTGTTCTTCTGTCACTTAAACTCCCAACTTTATTGAGAAACTTAATAGAAGGGAGCTGGATTTCAGACAACTTCTTTCATACTGCATTTTTGAGTTACACAGAATGAGGAAAATCAACACCATTTTCCACCCTGCAATCCAATGTGACTTTATGAGCCTATTACCTAACTTAGTCTCTATTCAAATATCACTGCTGTGCCTTTTAGTGGCTAAAGGGGTAACCAGTAGGAAAGGTTGACATTTATATAATAGATTTGGATTAAGAAGGTAAACTTATAAAATTGAAGTATTTTTAGTTTGATAATACTTGAAAATCATACACCCTTTTTACATTTTAAAGTTTCAAGGGTACAGCAAAATGAAAATAACTTTTTTATGAAGAAAAGTGTACATGAAAGTAGAGAACATTCTTGAAATCTGCTAATTTAATCAAGGGGATTTGAAACTCTCCCAATAGTGAAGACAAAACCTGTCAAGAAAAAGAAACATTTAATGTAACATTATATAATATTTTCATATGCTTTTTAAAAAATACGCATTTCTTTAAACCTTTTTTACCTCTACAAAATAACTTTCAAGTAAAGCAAAATATAATTTGATTACATGGAATTGCTAATTTTCTGTAGTCAGTTGCTAAATTCAGCAAGAACTACACAAAATCATAAACATGCTGTCTGGTTTTAAATTTTTTGTTTAGACTTTGAGATTAATAGAAACAATTAGAAACCATTCAGATAAAAAGTTCTTAACGTAGAATAAGGAATAAAGGTTCAGTCTATTCTAATAGCTTTATTGGGAAGTTTTTATTTGTATTTCAGATTCTCATAAAGTAATAATCTTTAGATCACTTACATTTAATATTTTCAGTGTGAACCCTAGAGAAAGTTGAAAACTAGTTTATATTCTGTCTCAACTTTTCATCTATCTCTCTGCCATGATCTACAGCCTCATCCCAAAACCTAGTCACAAGACTTAAAACTCATCAGAACTGAAGCTTTACATGAAACTGTGGACATGTTAATTAGAGAAATACCTGTGATAGAATTCTTGTCAGGAAAGGGGAGAGAGAATATACTTGGGGCGAGTATTTTGTCTTTTGGGCTCTTTTTAGATTACTACATGACCTTAGGTCGGCACATAATATGCTTTGAAAAGTTAATCTCAAGTTTTTTAAATCATTTTTCTTAATGGTCAAACATTCCATTTGTCAACTGATTGATTCATTAGTTGCTCTTAGCCAGTAAGATTTGTCATTTGGAAGAGTGAAGGCTTATAATTTTTTCAGAAACCATCTTAGCCATTTTGCCTTATAGAATGTGGGCAGCTGCCTCCCAGAAAAAGAGGTAAATTCACAGAGTTTGATCTTTGATGAATTATGGAACTGATTTTGAATTAACCTTGTATTTTCATCCTGATTGCTAAGGTGGTTCTGAAAACTTGTAGCATTGACGAAGTGGTATATCCTTTCCTAGTTAAGTATATCACATTTTTATGTAGTTTACAAAGAAACTCTTACAACTGCTAACAACCTTTATTGGTTATCAGCTTTTGGTAATGATCTTTCTGTTCAGGGTTAGTCCTGGCTCTTGGTTTCTTAAAGGGAGTACGGCTGTCTTTTTTTTTTTTTTGACATGTATCTTTTCTAAGAAAAAAACTCTGCTGTGTGTTCCAAGTGTAAGTCACATTTTCATTTAATCATAGTAGGTCTGGGATGATCTGGTGAAATACTTGAAGTTAATATATTCTGTTGATGGTTCCCCCCCCCCTTGAATAATCTAACAGGTTTTTTTTGAGTGAACAATTATCTTCATCCTTTTTGTCAGAAAAAATGTTCCTTTGATTTCTAGCACACATTATAGCAATACGCAAATGATTCTCAGATAAAATGATGTTGACAGTATTTCCTTAATGATTTGTGTAAACCTATGCGTAATTTCATAATTCTAACTTTTGACTTTTTTCTCTCCATAATAAAAGTAATGGCTGATGTTTAGTTAAAGTAGATCCACCTTTGCTTGATTTTATTAGTCTTCTTCCCTCCTATTTTTATTACACTGTAGATTGCCAACAACTCTTTACTGAGAATCTCTTCCTAGGAATAATTGTCAAAAGGGAGAGGAAGAATATTAAGAGAAGTAACCTAAAATTGTATTCAACTTTGTTGAAACTTAAAGGACATCTTATTTGTCTTTCTGATGTGCTAAAAAAAGGGCTTTGTGTCTACTGTACCATCTTTGGATTGAGATGTTTGTACAGTGAGACATAAATGTACTAAGATAAATGTTTGATTTTTGAGAAAACTAGAAGAATAGTAAAGAAATCCAGTACATTCACCAGAATTCTGGAGTCACTGAGAGTCACTGGTGGACTTCCCTAATACGCTCCAGTGGCCTGAAGAAACTTCCTGAATGACAAGAAAGAGAACCAACTGGGTAATAGGGGAGGCAAGGTTTAGGGCTGTGATAGCTCAGGGGTAGAGTGCCTGCCTAACATGCACAAGACCCTGGATTCAATCCCTAACACTGCTGGTGTGTGTATGGGGGGATATATGTTTTACTTTCATGGTTTCTCTAAATCCAGAATAGCAATCTGAACTTTTAAAAAGTTACACTACAAGACAGCTAAGAGAAGAAACAGGCATTAAACAAGATATAGTTTCCTTTATAGTTTCCTTTATACATGAAGTAGTCCCCAGTCATAGGATGTGAGACAGCAGCCGAAAGGCTTCTAAAACACCATAGAAACAGCCAGCAGGAATGCCTGTAGTGAACAAGTAAGCCCTTGTTGCTAGGCAGATGCTGATAAATATCTGAATCCTGTCAAAAACTGTAATACCTGTGCTGGATTCTCGCAGGAAAAAGAGGAATGGCCGGTTTGCTTTAAAAACAGGAACCCGAGACCTTTTCAGTAACAACAGAGCTGCAGTAAAGATAGAGTAGAAGAATTAATTCCATTTTCTGTTTAAAGAAAATAAACTAGATACAAAGTCAGTTTGCTTTTTAAGAATTCAAAGCATAGTGACGTATTCTTGCTTAGTGTTATAATGGAGATGCAAATGGGAAAACTAAAGAAAAAACTATTTTAGCTAAGCCTATCTTCAAGTATGGAATAAGTTTCTTACCAAAGATAATTTTCAGAATGATCCTATTGATGGTTTATGGGGGTAATGATACAAGTCCTTTTCAAAATGGATGTCTTCCTTTTTCAAAAAGTTTGCTTTCTGTTAACATTTTTAAAAAAATGCTATACCACATCTGGTCTTGAAGTCATAAATGAAAAACTTTAAACTTAAGGTTTAACTGAAGAAATTGAACAAAGGCATGTACAGGAAGCGGCCCGACCGGGTATTGTGTGTTACTCTCTGAACATACCTGTGGCTGCAGATGCCTTAGATCCTTCCTCCGAAACTTCCATCTTGGCCTTGTGGATTGCTTCAGAAACATAAAAGCCATCCTGGCCTACCTCAAGAACAGACAAAAAGATGAAGTGTTTATTTACATTTTTCTGTGTATTTAGTATAAGGACTTAATGTACATTTTTAAAGAACAACCTATAAAATAGTATCCGATACTGCCTACTATATAGCTGGGAGACATTGTTTAGAAAATTCTCAAGGTTTCCATATTTTTATGTGACTTTCAAAACAGTTTGCTATAATTGTCTAATAACCCTCCAAATTAATATTCAATCGCATTCCATGTTTTGCAGTAATTCTCAAAATGTGTTCTGGTTATATTAAAGTCTTCAGTCAGTACTTCTAAAATTTAGGTAGTTGGAAGAATCACCAAGGTGTGTTAAAAGATTTGAAGTCCAGTAATGATTTTCAGCAAGCTTCTGAATGATTTCCCTTGAATACCTTTTTAAAGTGATAAAGTAACAGGTTTGTAACATGGGCTTTAGGAGGTATAATTTGGTATATTCAAAGTGTGTCTAATGTTTCATGACTGCATTCTGTATATATTATGCAATTAGCTTGCCTCAAGGACTAGAATCTGCTAAGAAAATGAAAGATTGTAACATTCTGTACACAGCAGTTTGAAAGACAAGCTTTACAAGTAGGGTTGTAGGTGATAACTTAGAGGAATGGAAAGATTTTTAAACAGTTCTCCAAGTAAGAAATGGTAACTTGAGAAGCATCTTTAGAATTACAGGAAACTAGAAATTGTCCATTTCAGTCTTTCCTTTTAGAGGAGCCTATGAAGTCCTCTGAGATCACACGTCTGATAAGCAGAAATGGGAATACAATGTATAGACTTTTGGACCCAACTCTCCACTCAAAACACTACCATCTTGCAGGAAGTGCTGCTTAGCGTAACATAGCCCTGGAAAGGGATGTGGAGCCTGAGTATTAGAATAATGGTTTTGATATAAGTTTCAAGGGAGCTTTACTTGTTACACACTTTCAAGGAGGGTGTTCTATCTTACAGTTATGATCTACACAGGATATTGTGAGTTGGCTAAATTCACTATAAGGAACAGTTTCCCAGCATCAGGAAGAGGATAGTAAAGGGTCAGAAGAAAGGAAAAAAAATCTAGAAACAATTACTTAGCACTAGCAGTTGGTCTTTGAGAAAAGAAACAAATTTCCCTGTCAAGAATTAGCCCCCTCCCACCAGGTATGGTGGCACAGTAAGAGCACTTGGGAGACCAGCCTGGGCTACCTACTGAGTTCCAGGCCAACCTAAACTATGTAGCAAGACCCTACCTCAAAAAAATTTTTTAACCCCTCCTAGTAGTTTACTGAGCAAACAGTACCAAAATTAAAGGGTAAAGAAAATGTCTTTGACAGTCATGAGCAGGTTTTACTCTGACTTCATTACTAACTTTAGGAAAATTGGATGATATAGTGTCAGATGAGTTTCATTTATGTAGCTTTTCTCCATCAGACTTAAGGAATGATACAATAACTAAACTTTGTGTTTACTCAGCTATAAGCCAAGACTTCTGCCCCAGCATCAGCATCTCATACATTTTACCTCTTTACGAAAGATCGACATTTGTGATAACAATGAGAATTTGGGAGTTAACCTGTGAGTTTGCGGTTTTTTTCTTTGATCTTACAGTTTGCTTACTTTCGTTAAGTAGCTATTGAAATTATAGTGCAATTAATGAAAACCTAGAAATTTGATCCTGAGAAGTTTGGGCCTTTTTTGTCCTCTGGTGATGGCAGCTTTTTAGTGCCATTGAAAGTTGTATAACCTGGTTTCATGAAATTTGCTCTCAAGATGATTTATAAGTGCTATTCTGTTGAAAAGATTCCATGATTAATTGTTGGGAGATGAGGGTTGAATTTTACACTTACATTTTGAGTAGGGAACTTCTTAGAGAGCTGTTGATTTGCTAATGTCCACAGGGACTGCTTACAAAAGGAACACTACATAGCGTCCAGCAATGAAACTTTCCACATCCTCTGTTCCCCAGTTTACCAGATTAGCATTTGGAGAATACACTTGGGGAAGCTAGCCCACCGTAAACCTGTTTGTCCTATATTACATGTTAATATCCAAAGCAAAGTGGAAAGATCCTCCTACCCTTCCTCCCAGCACACACTCCTTTCCTCTTCAATAACATCTACACATGCTTAGCTTCCTTGTTCACTGTTAGTTATTAAAAACAAAAATGCAGTATTCATTTTAGACACTTATTTGCCTCACCTGCATTATAATGCTTGGCACATATGTGTGTTCAGTAAACTCTGGATGAAATAATAATAGTCATCCCTCCCCTTTTTCCTATAAAACAAGCTCACTTTGCAACCATAAGGCACAGCAAAGAACAGGTGTTTGACAAGTCTCCGCCAAATGGTTCACTTTTCCATCCACTTTGTTGGTGGAGGCCATTATTATTTCAGTATGGTTGGTCATACTCTCAAGATGCTTTTGAGTCTTCATAACTATGTAGGGTAAACAAGATTTGTGAAATGTATGTCATTGTTTCAGATCATCAAGTAAGATAAGCATACTATTGACTTTTTCTTTTGTCTTTCCAGGTTTTGACAGAATTACTGGCTTTTGAAATGTGTGCTTATCTTTATAAGTGCTGCATGCTAACTGATTGTGCCATTGGAGCTTCTCTAGCTTATCTTTCTCATCTTGTCACTTACTTATGAAGAGATGAATTGTGTGTGTGTGTGTGTGTGTGTGTGTGTGTGTGTGTGTGTGTAAAGGCATCTAAGATACTCTAAACCTAGGTAGTGGTTATTTGCTTTCCCTGTTTCTCTTACCCTTTTGTGTGCAGCTCACAAGACGGCTGGTGCAATCTAAGTTAACTTACATATTCTGAATGGTTTGCTCATTAAAGTCATAGTATCAAGAACTTGTACTGCTTACTGAGCAGAAATTAGAAACTGATTATCCACACATAAAATCAAAAGAACAGTTTCAGATTTATGCACATGTAGTATTTCCTGGACCGGGGGCATGGATCTGTACCAAAGCCTGTTGTTCCTGAAAGGAATTGGGGTTACTTCAAAAGAGTATTTCTAACTGACCCCTTTGGTGGCGCTGGAATTACTCTTCGAAGTTTCATAACATCTAATGTCAAGTATATTGGGGGGAATTATACTCTGGATTCAACTGAGCCTGGAAATTACATTGAGTGAGTTCTTTAAGAAGGAAGACAATAGAGAAGGGAAGCTTAAGTAAAAAGATTCTGAGCTTTGGAATGAAATGAAAAGGAAATGCTAAATGTGATCATTGGGCTTCCATCAGTAGCACAAAACTGCCTGGTAACTCCCTGATAGTGGAAGGCTGCAAGGCCAACATTTTCTGGTTGTTCCCTCTCCATTACACTCTACTCTTAATGCTGTGTTGTATTTCTACAGTTAAGAAATAGACAGATGATGGCTACCCTTCTTTTAGGAATGAGGAAACTTTTGGGAGGAGATTCAGTGAACTTGTCTCAGAAATAAAACCAGAAGCCTACATGGACACATACATAGCTACTATCTTGATTAAAGAAGGGTACTGGTAAACAATACTTTAGTCAGCAAATTTTTCCATAGAGGGCCAAATACTGAAATTCTTGTCATTGCCAGCCATATGGTATGTGTCCTAATGACTCAGCTCCACTGTTGTAGCAGCCAAGCAGCCATGATGAATTGTAAATGAATAGGACTGTTTCAGTAATACTTTATTTACAAAAACAGGTAGTGGCCATCATTTGCTGACTTCTGTTCTAAAGGATCAAAACTGTATGGAAAAAGTTAGAAAACTAACGTGTCTTGTCAGTAAGAAACATGAATATAAGCTTCCCATTTAGCACAAGGAAGTTACTGGATAATTAAATTATTAAGCTATATCCCTATGCCTATATTTCTTTTGGTTTGAACAAATATAAGTAGACTTGAACTGCATTAGAAAAAAGAGGCCTGGTCTCCAAAATGTATAAAACTAATGGCTTGATAAGGTCTTATCAGAGAGGCTTGTCTTTACCAACAGAATGGGGTTAAGCTTAATCCATTTTAGACACAGAATTGATGGCATTGATGGGCTAACCAGTCCTGTTTGAGGACACAGGATTTATGACCCCTCTAGGACATAAAGGGAGAAACATTTGAGTTAGAAAGACTCAGTAAGCCATGATGATTAGTTGAATATAGTGATGTAGTAGAAAAGGTCAAGAATGACCCCAAAGATAGGCTTTTTCCTTGCTTGTGTTGGCGATTAAACCCAGAGCCTTAAGGTTTTGAACTTAGATGATTAAATACTGATATCAGCAAAAGAGTTGCCATAACTAAGCTATGGGGCAGTATGATTAAATTTTTCACACTACTGAAGATGAAATACACTTAATTCCTCATCTCTTGCCTTCTAATATTTTCACTGTAAAATTATTTCTTTCCCTTCCGGGTTAGATAATGCATGTGTAATTAAGAAAAATTCCTGCTCAAATTATTCAATGAAGTCAATATTAAGTATCCAACTATATGCTAAGCATTGTCTTGGGCAATTTAATTTTCATATTTCATTTAAGAATATTTTTTCAGTGTTAGGGACAGAATTCAGGACTTAAGTACATTAGGCAAGCACTCTACCACTGAACTACCTCAGCCCAGAGATGGTGGGCTTTTGATACTCTATTACTAGAGTATTCTATCCCGTTTCCTCAGATTATGCATGCTCTTGTAATTTCAGAGCCCTGGGAAACATAAGCCTTCCTGACTGTTAGCATTGTGTTCACTTTAGTGCTGATGGAGGGAGGGTATTTTAGGGTGACATTACAAGAGCATGCATAATTGAGGGAATTGGATAGACAGAGGGAAAGCTGTTGATTGGAAGAGGACGGGGGAGGTACAGAGTGAAGCGAGAGAAGGCAGAAACAAAGGGTGATTGGGAGGCCGATTTGACAGCAAGCAGCAGGGCAGAATAAAGAATTCTGAGGTAGTCTGTAATATCATACAGAATGGTAATATGGAGTAAAATGTCGTATACATTTAACAAGTGTTATTGGACTTTAAGAAACAAAGGTCACAAAAAGTTAGAGAAGGTGGGTGAGAAGTCTGAATTCAGTCCCCAGTGTCACTGGCAGGGCCCTGGTCATGACTTGCAGAGCGAAGGAAGGGTGAGCATATTGTGTCACGTGGCTGTTGACTTCCCTCTGAAAACCTGTGCATGCCTGAGGGTCTGAAGGGACATCCCTCCACCAAGTCTAACCCAAATGTGACAGTCAGAAACAATGCATTCTTATTCAAAGCAAAATGCTTTATTCTTTTACACATTTGACTCTACCACCGAAAGGTAATAAAACCCTTTAATCACTGTAATAAAGCTATCCCAAACATGTCAAACATCTTAGAAAGATAATTGTTACCTGAAATTCCTTTCAAGTTAGCTTTGAGTGGATCAAAAAGATCGATGACTCCCCAAGACCTCAAAATGCTTTTTAAGTTGAATTGGTTTTGGATCCTAAATCTAAAAAAGCAAAAGAAAACCAACAAATTTCAGAGAATTCCCACCTAATGTACTTTCATATTCACCACATAAATGTGCCAACTTCTAACTTGGGAGATAGGGTCCCCCAAATTTGTCCCAGGCCGCCTTCATTTTTTCTTTTTGATAAGCCCTCCATCCTTACTAATTTGACTGCCCACAGGTCTTGTCTACCTCCGGAGCTTTGTACATGCTCTTTGTTCTATGTATCGCCTGTTTTCTTTGATTGCCTTTAAATTATTATCCTGAACTGATACCCTGTCACCTTCTCTAAGCTGTTTGTGTGACCTTTAGTTCTTAAAGCCCAATAGCACTCGTTAAATGTACAGGCCATTTTACTCCATGTTACCATTCTTTATGATATTACAAACTACCTCAGAAGAAAGGTTATGTGGTTTCATTTTCATTTCAGAGTAATAATATTTAATGAGTACTTACATTGTGCTAGCACTTATGATAAGGGATTTATATGGATTACCTCATTTCTTTTTCATATAACCGTGCTATTATTATTCTCAGGTTGCAGGTGGGGAAAGTGAGGCTTAAAGAATTAAGACACTTGTCCAAGATGACCTAGTGAAAAATAACATGGTAGGTCTCAGTTCAGATCGAGGCTCTAGGAGTACAGAGCCCAGGGTCTGGTCACCTACACTTTGCTTCACATTTCAGGTAGCATCGCATACATCATAGGTGCAGAAAGGAAGCTGTGAATAATTGACAATGAATAGAGTCTTGTTAATGTGCTTGCATTGGATGATTTCATGTTTACCTTGTGTCTCTGACACAGCAGAAAGCATGTGTGTTTGGTTTTCCTGTAGGCCCATGTGAGCAGAAAGTAAGAACACACCGTGTTTACAGTGTTTCCCAAAACCATGGCATTTCAAAATTGACTGTTGAAGTCAACTTTTAGCTTTAGCATGGCCTATTGATACTATTTTTCTTTGAAAATAAAAAAGTTGAAAATGGAATTTAGATGGTCTTTTTCTATAAACCATACAGAACTTGCAGGAGAGTGAAAATGGGACAAGACCATTTAATGTCAAAGATATTCATTGCCATACAGACAGTGTGGCCAATAGTTTTTAAAGCATCAGACTTTTTTATAAAATATATTGTGGATTTTTGAAAATATTTTGCAAAAAAACAAGCATGACATTTTAAGAATGTTCTTAAGTTTTGAAAACTAAATACTAGGACATAGTAAGTAAGAGTATGAACCTGGGAATCCAGTATCTGGGTTTTAAATCCTGATTCAACCACTGACAGAAAATTACTTTACTTCTGGGGAGAGTTACAGGACCCACCTTTGCCTCAGTGTCCTCTTTTGTGCAATGAGCAAATACAAGTGTGTGTTCGTAGGGTTGTAAAGATTAAATGAACAGGATAAGGCTTAGCACAGCTTATACAGTTATTGTCATCATTGTGATTTTCCTGCTGTTTCTCAGTGATATTGAGAAAGAGTAAAGGACAGTTTAAAACCAAATGTGATAATGGTGGATGATAAAATGGAATAATATCATTCTTAGTAAATTAAAGATATCAAAAGTGAAGTATGACTATAAAAATAGGATTAATCTTAATGTATGATTATGAAGACAGACTCGGAAGACTGTAACAATAGCTTGAGTCGAAACAAACTTACCTAATTCCAAAACCAGAGAAGATTATCACAAGAAAACTACCGACCAATATCCTTTATATATAAAATTTCTAATTAGCAAATTGAATCCACCACCATATGAATCCTGCTACAACTAAATGAAACATCCCAGTATATAAGGTGCGTTAGACATAATAATCAATTAAGATAACACAAAGAACAAAGACCACACTATCATCCCAATAGATGCAGAAAAGGCTTTCGACAAAATGCAGCAACTTTTCATGTTTGAAAAGAAACATCAAGTAACCAACTTGGATATAACTTACTGTACTTCATGAAGAGTATCAATAAAATCCCTGCAGCTTGCTTCATACTTTTTAGTGAAAGACTGAAGGCTTTCCCCTCTTAGATTAAGAACAAGACAATGATGCCCACTCTATCCACTTACATTTCACATTTACAGAAGGTGGGTAAGACAATTGCATAAAAAATAGACAGTATCCAGATTAGGAAGGAAGAAGTAAATCTATCTCTGATCACAGATAACTTAGTCTTACATATCAGGAAACTAAAGAATCCACAAAAAACCAACTAGAGGTACTAAGTTTGTCAAGTATATAAATTCAAGATATAAAAATCAATTGTATTTCTAAACTCTACCAGTGAACAACATGAAAATGAAATTGAGAAGACAATTCCATTTACAGTAACATCAAAAGAAACAAAATACTTAATATTATTGTTTCACAAAAGAAGTGTAAGCTTTACACAGTGAAAACTAAAACATTGTTGAAAGAAAAAAACTAAACGAACAACATCTTGAGTTCTAGGCTTGTAACACTTTGTTAGAAAGCAAAAATTCCCATATTGATTTATAAATTCAAAATAAATCCTGTCTAAATCTCACTACTTTTTTTTAGCAAAAAGTAGTAAACCAATCCTAAACATATGAAAATGCAAGGGGCCAAGAAAAGCTTGGAAAGAAACAAAGTGGAAGGACTCATACATCCTGATTTCTAGATGTATAACTATAATAAGACCATATGATATTGGTAAAAGTACATCTACAGAATAGGGTGGAGGGTCCAGAAATTTATTTATTTATTTATTTTTTGGTACAAGGGGTCAAACTCACTCGTGACCTCACACTTCCCAGGCAGGCACTTATGCCATTGAGCTAAACTCCCGGCTAAACTCATACATTTGACACTGGTTTTGACAATGATGCCAAGAAAATTTAGAGGAGAAAAGGGTAGTCTTGCAAGCAATTGGTGTCAGGATGAATGGTTGGTCACAACCTAAAGAATGAAGTTGGGCCTCTACCTTATGCCATATACAGTTGACTCTTGAACTACATGGGCCCAAATTACATAGCTCCACTTATATGTAGATTTTTTAAGAAGTTGTGACAATTTGAAAAAACTTGAAGTAAACCCTGTAGCCTAGAAATATTTAAAAATTGTGGGAAAGGTATGTAATGAATCCATAAATATATGTAGATTATAGTCGATTATTTATTACTATAATATACACACAAATCTATAATGAAAAGTTAAAATCTTTCAAGACTCATGAACACACTTAGAAACCAAATGGCCATTTGGTGCCACTTACAAACAAGAAATATAAACAAAGGTAAGGATATAGTATAAAATCAAAATTATGTAAACTCACTATAATACATACTGTGTACTATAGTGATAACATTGTGGCCACATCCAGTTGCTATTGTGGTGAGCATGACTGTTGTGAATATCTGCTTAAAGTTTTGTAGGTGCCCAGCATTGTGGTGCATCCCTGGGATGAAGGTGAGGCAGGAGAACGGCAAGTCTGAGCTCAGCCTGGGCAACTTAGTGTCTTAGCAAAACCCTGTCTTAAAATAGAAAAGACTGAGGATGTAGCTCAGTACAAAAGCCCTGGATTAAAATCCCAGTTCTGCAAAAACAAAAACAAAAAGAAATACACCAAGGGACACTGGTCACCTCTGTGGGACCAGTTCATTTCTCTAAGTCATTGAATACTGCAGCAAAAAGTGATTTTTAAAGGTGCTTGTGTATTTTTCCACAATATATGATACACATAATGTAAAATATGTGTTGATCAGTTATGGTATTGGGAATAAGGATTCTGGTCAAAAGCAGGCTATTTGTAGATAAATTTTAGGGAAGTCAAAAGTTATACACAGATTTTCTACTGTGAGGACATTTGGGTTCCTAATACCCAAATTTTTCAAGGGTCAACTGTACAACAATTAATTCACAACATGTAAAAGTTAAATCTATCCATAGATAGGATCAGGCATGATATGGCCAGACACTAAACTCATCCTTAGAGAAAAACAGATGTTTATCTTTGTGATCTTGGTTAGGCAATGGTTTCCTAGCTATGACATCAAGAATTCAAGAAACTAAAGAAAAAATAGATTAATTGAACTTCATCAAAATCAACAACTTTTGTGCTTCAAAGAACACTATCTCTCATGGAAAGATAACACAGAGAATGAGAGAAAACATTTATTAATCATCTATCTGTTAAAGAGCTAGTATGCAGAATAATTTTTTAAAAATTATAATTTGAAAATAAAAAGACAACAAATTTTAAAATGGGCAAAGTATCTGAATAGATATTTTTCTTAACAAGCTATAAAATGACTAACAAGCATATGAAAAAATGCTTAGGAAAAATGCAAATAAAATGTACTGTGAGATGTCACTTTGCACTAGCTAGGATGTCTACAGGTTTTGAGAAGGCTGCAGAAAAATTGAAACCCACATACATAGTTCATGGGAATGTAAGATGGTGCAGCCACTTGGAAAGCATTCTCACAGTTTTCCAGAGATGACTCAGTAATCCTATTCTTATGTATATCCAAGATAATTAAAAATATAGATTCACGCCCTAACCCACATGCATTTGGATGCCTGTAGTAGCCAAAAAGTAGAAACAAGCCAAAAATTGTTTTGGCACGCAGATATTCATGTTAATGAATGGATAAAATGTAGTATATCCACACAATAGATATTTTGCAACCATAAAAAGGGCATAAAGGAGTGATTTATGCTACAATAAGGATGAACCTTAAAATTTTTATGGTAAGTGAAAGAAGCCAGACACAAAAGGCCTCATACTTCATAATTTATATTTACCTGAAATTAAAAGGGGAAATGCAAACACAAAGAATAGATTAGTAGTTGTCTAGGGTTAGGGTGGGGGGTAAGGAGTAACTGCTAATAGGTGTGGGGTTTCTGTTTGAGGTGATCAAAATGTTCTGGAATGATTAGATAGTAGTGATAGTTGGACAGTTTTGTGAACATACTAGAAACTTACGAACTATGGATTTAAAGGGAATGAATTTTATGTTATATGAATTATACCTCAATTTAAAAAACAGAAAATAGCCTTAGAAAAAGCATAGACCATACATGGTACTGATCAGCAATTCCTTGAAGGAAGAGTAAAACTTGTTTTGGATATATGAGATTTGGTTGATTTGGAAAAGACACATACCTGCTGTGATTTACATGTGGTTTAAATGTGTCCCTCACATGTTAATGTGCTAGAGGCTTAGTCCCTGCATGATGGTGTTAAGGAAATTTTATGAGGTGAGGCCCAGTGGAAGGTGATTAAGCACTGGAGGGACCATACTAATATATTAATATACTTCCTGTATATTAATATACAGGAATTACTATACTTCCTGTAAGTAGTAAACATGAATGAGTTGTTATAAAAAGAATGAGCCTGGCCCTTAAATCTCTCTGATTTTGTTTCACCAGGTGATCTCTCCCAGTCCTACGTGCACCTCTGCCATGACACCATCACCATGTTCTGATGCAGCCAGAAAGCACTCAACAGAGCAGAGAGGATGCTGGCATCATACTCACGAATCTCCAGAATTATGTACTAAATGTGCCTTCACTTTTTAAAAACAAAGCATCCAGCCTCAGGTATTTTTTAAACCAATGGAAAACAACCTAATATTATATGATGTCTAATATCAGTAAAATGCTCTGGTTCAGCATCTTAATATGTTGATGCTGTGTTTACTCATTAAATTGATATTTGATTGTTAGTCTGTCTTGTGGGGAATTACATGATTATGGATATAATGACACTTAAACATTAATTCCTGGCTTTCTTGATTATTTCTTTAATGTGCTGTATTCCTATTGAAGACTAACAGTTCCTATGCATTTAATTTTTATTTCTTCAAATCAAGTGTTACTTTGGAAGTTAGATACCATAGTTAATCGAGAAACTACTAATGAACAGCTTGGTGATGTTTAACCCAAAATACATCTTATTGTCACACAATACATTGCTGTCCATAGTGTATAAAATCTATGCTCTTTTTTTAATGAAAAGAGCATGTGTTTAATATAATAGAGGAGGTTATAGTAAATGAATAATGATTTGAGGGAACTAAGGGTAAATTCTTGCCAAAAATTAATTTTGTGTCTACCACAGTCCAAAGTTTATACTTAAAACTAGACCTAAAGCAGTTTTTACTTTTTCTACACTGACTCCCTAATGAGTTTAAATTTTAAAGCAAGTTCTCACAGGTTGAACCTAGCACTATGCACATGCTAGTCAAGTGCTCTTCCACTGAGCTGCACTCCTGGTTCCTTGTGTTTTTTATTTTGAGATGGTCTCACTAAGTTATTTAGGCTGGTCTCATACTTTAGATTCTCCTGCCTCAGCCTCCTGAATAGCTGAAATTACAGGTGTATAGCAGGGCACCCAACGAGCTAGCTTTTAAAAAATAGACCAGATTTGCTTGTAGAATGGTCTCAGTTTTCTAAAACTCATTGTCCTTTTTGGACAGGAGTCTTGCTAGTCTTAGGAGATTTTTTTTTTTTTTTTTTTTTTTTTGTCTTTTTCCTTTTTATCAGTACCGGGGATTGAACTCACAACTGCCTGCTTGCAAGGCAGGCACTTATGCCACTGAGCTAAATCCCCAGCCCCTAGTCTTAGGAGATTTAAAAATTATCACAATAAGGTCAACCGTTAACTAGTGGTTGGTCACTAAGATCCCTGCCTGCCCTCTCTTTCTTCTTTGATCTATAATGTTTTTCAGGATTATTGCTCAAGAGTTGATTTTTCTTTTGTTTGTTTTTGCTTCTTGCTTTCTGAGACAAGGTCTTAATGTGTAATCCAGGCTGGCCTTAAACTCACAGCAATCCTCCTACCTCACCTTCCCAAACGCTGGGATTACAGGCATGCACCACCATGCCTGGCAAGAGTTTGGGATTTCTAAAAGCAGAATTATAAAACTACGGAGAGTTCTTAATGGGGCCAGCCAGAATGGAGAATTTTACAGGAAGTTAATGGGGCCAGAGAAACGCCATTTCCCTGGGGCCTCTTTCTTCCATCAGCCGTTCTATGATGAGCCAATTCTCTGTCTCCTAAATCCAAATGAGTGCAGCAGGTTCCTGCAGTGGGCTGTGTTCCCTGTGTGGAAAGTGAGCTCCTTCTCCATCCTTCATTGAGCCTCTCTCAAGTATAATAAGAAGTGGACTGATCTATTTCTGCCACAGAGATCTGTTCAAATAAGCAGTTGTGGAGCTTTGCTTTAGAGTCTGAATATTTGGTTTTGAGAGACAGAATTTATTTGAGAGTTAAGTTTGCCTTCTGTTCTGGCTATGTCTGATCCCGCTTTAGATTTTAGCCTAACATCTGGGTCTCTCTTTGTATTGTTGTTGTTCAGTGGATGGACTTATTTTAACTGCTTGACGGAGAACAACCACATCTTTGCCTTCACCAGCTAGGTGCTCTGGCCATGGAGTGAGACCAAAGCCATGAGAGAACAGATCCACAAAGAACTCAGACACTGACAGTGAGCCTTGGCTCTGGTCTACTGATTTGTTATATTTTTACTCTTATTTCAAATGCACCAGAAAAGCTCATCATTTGAAGAAATCCTAGCCAGAATCCCTTTGCAAAAATAATGTATCCATTAATGTGCTTTGGAAAAGCAAAATCTATTGCTATCATTCAACTTTTTGAAAATTTGTACTTGTGCCTCCTGGGTTTATATAAGGGGAGTTTCCTTCTATTCAGAACAAATGAAAACTTTCAGCAGAGAGACTTTAAATCTGTACTCTTATGCCTTAATCTGGTTTCTGATTGGAATTATATTTTCTCAGTTACATAAACAATCTTGCTTCTTGAATTTTGAAAAAATGATACACATGATATGAAAAATGATAGTTGTCTTAGGATGTGATGAGATTTGGGGTGCATTCATCCAGGGGAACTGCTGTGTGCTTTCTTTCCTCCTCAGAAGCTGGTTATGGCACAACACTCGAGCAAGAGGCCTGGGGTTCCAGTCTGCCTCATGAAGGCAGAGTATCACATCTTGGAAAGACTGCAGGAAGTTAGTTCATTTCATTCTGCGCCGTGAGCTAGTCAGCAGTTAATGGACTCAGACTGTAAGGTAAGTTCCCCTAAGTTCTCAGGGTGCATTCGCACCAACAGTAAGCAGATATAGATCTGGCCCCAAAGCCGGGCCCTGTGCACTGCTGGTTGCACAGCACCTTGTGAGGGCCATGTAGCTGCTCACCTGGGGAGGAACACATCCATCCTGGTTCTCCTTAGCCTGCTGGTCCAGAGGTGAAGGACTCTGGCTGTAAGTTGTGGCTCAATGTGGTCCAGGGGTGTATCTCTGTCACGGGACAGCACCAGGAAGAGACTTGCTGCCCTCCCCAGGTATGGCAGCTCCAGCAGTGACACTTGATGACCCATGGCATCCTGGAACTGGCCTGGGGATTAGTGGGTCAGGAATTAGCTCTGTCCTAGAAGTCAGGGAGGCTGAACAGTGCCAGACCCAAGGAGGAGACAGTTGATAGTTCAGGAAACAGTAAAACAGGTGTCTTCTCACCCGTATGGAGCAGTTTGCAGCTGAAGACTTCAGGGTGGCATAGTCCCTTATTTATCCCAAGGCCCAGCATCTCTTAGATACAACACAGGGCCCAGGTCAGAGGCCTGTACTTGCTATGTACAGTGGAGACAATGGCACAAGGTAGAACCATGTATACTATCTTGAAGGGGCAGCCCATCCAGTTCTGGCCCACGGGCACTCTAGGTCTTTTACACTGGATCTCCTTATCTCAGTAAAAGCTCTAAATCCAGATTTCTCAATTTCTAAGACTCTACACAGACTCAGTGTAACCTGAGTTCAGGCTAGATTTGACCTGGTAACTGATTAATAACCTGTGACCTAAAAAGTAGTTCCAGGATGGGCACATGGGAAGTGCAAATGTCTGGCTGAGGACGAGTCTAGGGCATCAGCCAAAGCATGATTTTTAGAAGGGTGTGATAGGGTAGGTGGCAGGTGGCAGCAGACAAAGATAGCCAGTAGCAAGGAATTGATGGTGAGTAATGTAAATAATCCAGGTGGGCGGGAGTCTCACCAGGACTCCAGTTTAGATCCTGTCCCTAGGAGGATGGTGAGGCCAAGGAACTGGTATGGGTTGGGAACAGATTTGCCAGGCCACTAAGACAAAATCTTAGGCTCAGTAGGAAAGATGGGAACATAGTTCCCTGCCATAGTTCACACGGTCTACAGGTCTTTATTCAGCATCCACTATGTATCAGCTACCAGGAATACTTGTATTCTGGGAAGCATAAGAGGACATAGAGCCCATCTACTGCCATAACGCTGTCAAACTAACCTATGAGGTCAGAATAGCAATAACAACAGGGCAAGAACAAGAACTATAATTAATTGTATATGCATATTTATTTAACAAATAGATGTTCTTTAGTTTGCATCTCACAAACACACAAATATGTTTCCTGAGCACTTACTATGTGCCGGCATGGAAAAGCAGAACTACTAGCTGGGCTGCTAAATGCCAACGTTCCTACAGGAGCAATGGGGCCTTCAGTCTAGTAGGGACTCAGTCTTCATGCTCGCTCCATACCCACTACGTAAAGGTGCCTGTCAGGGGTGTGATTTGGTCCAGAAAGATAGTTTTCCATTAATTCCTTTCTTACTAAATGTATTGCAGAATATCAAGCATAAAATTGGGTTCTCATCCCGATCTTTCCTCACTGTCCTGTTGACACAGACTGTCCAGTGGGCCCTCTCTGAATTTCCTGCCACCCATTGTCTTTTGGCTGAGTGACAGCCCAGAGGATGACATCACAGTGAAACACACAGAGGCCTGGGTTTTTGTCTGCCACCACATGGTCATGCCTGCTCTGACGTCCTCTCACCCAGGGGCAGGGGCTCACCATAGTTGACCTCAGCCGTCTGGTGCATCATGGGGACTCGAAAGACGAGGCCGTGGGCACTGGTGAAAGGCAGGGGCTGTGAGTCCATGGAGGAGAATGTCTTCTGCCAACGGCTTTGGAAGGTCACAGTGCTCACGAGGGCGAGCTGGGCAGACGCAGTGCTGCCCTCCTCCCACGGTAGGCTGTCTGGGCCCCAGCCTGGAAGCAGAGGAGCGAGCACAAGGGTAGATGTACATTATGACCGCACTGAACACAGTATGTATGTGGCCAAGGAGTGCAGAGCTAAAGTGCAAAACACAAGGTATCCTTTGATAATGGGGTATTTCTCATGTGACCCCCTGCCCTGAGCCCTGTTTTTGTCTCTGTTTTTGTTTCACAATATCTTTTCCATGTACTCAAAATTGCTTAATTCCCTAAGTCCCTTCTGCTGCTGGATACCCAAGGCCATACTAGGTGCTATCAACTTGCTGTCCTGGGCTTGGGCCATGGAAATGGGAGGTGAGAACTCAGAAATCATAGAGTCCTGACATCTGGATACCTGCAGGTAGGCTGTCGCTTACTTACATCTGTTAATTGCAGCACACTTATGTGTTTATAACTATCTGTTGCTTAAGATCGTACTCTTCTTTCTTGAATAGGGATGCTCCCCCTGCTTCTGTCTGGGCTGTTTCACAGGGACCATTAAGCACTTCCTCCACAGAGCCCGTGGAGCTGATGCATCATCCTCTAGTTCCCACTGTCCATGCTGAGCCATGTCATTTGCTGGTCCTTTGCTAAGAAAATGGCATTCACAGCATGGTCTTTGGAGGGCGGTAATTAAAATCCATGAATTACCAAAAGAGAAGTAGGCAGGAGCAGACCACTTCTATTAGGGTCAGCTCTTAGACTTTTATTAATTTAATAAACACATACTTTGTACTAGGCTCTATCTTAAATTCTTAAGTAAATTCTTACTTATCTTTTATTTCTCATTTTATTGGTGAAGGAACCTAGGGTTGGAGAAGTTAGTCAAGGTCATATATTTATGAGGGGCAAAATCACCATTCAACCAATTACTAAGACAAACCTTGGATTTGAGCAAGAGCAGCCTCAAATTTGTGCTCTAGATGACTGTAGTGGGCAGGTTAGTCTGGGAATTTAGAACAGCAAGTGTGACCTCTCTGTGGGGGAGAGGGTGGAGAATGAGACATAGAATTCAAACTTTAAATAAATTGACAAGATGTTAAACATTCCAGAAACCTGAGAGTTTGCAAGCTTATTCAATTACAACGTGTATCCTACTGCTTTCTTTTCTGCTTTAGAAACAACAATGAATCTTGAATGTTCTTCATATTCTGGATAGTTTTGTAATTTCCAAGGGTGCTGGGGCATGCCATCTGGGTGAGCGTCCTGGCTTTGTAGCCCACGTCAGACAGGAAGCTTGGCCCTTGGTGCCTCCATTCCAGCAACTGTAAAATTGGTGTCTGCTTTCTAAAATCATTGTGGGAGCGGACTGAGATAATGAACTTCAAGGACTGCTAAATGAGTAGATGGTCAGTAAAGATGAACAATTTCCATCATGTTTGGTAATAGTTACAATGGTATGGTGGCAGTTGCTGTACTTCTCTGAATCACTCCTTGTTGTTGGAAAGTTACATTTTACATAGTCTTTTTCTTCAATAAAATAGCATCTTATTCCATATAACTTTATCTTTTTTTGAATTGTCTCCTTACTCTAAATTCCCAAGTAACCACATTGTTGGTCCCTCCTGCATTTCAATATCATAATTGTGGATGAAGCAAAGCTAAGTGGAAATTCACTGAGGGGAAAGGGGCAGAGGACAAAGCCTGTAGGGTATGTCTAGACACAGAAAGCTCTGAGAGCATCTCTATGTGTGTTTTTGTGTGTGCTTGTGCACATGTATATTTATGTGTGTGTAGGAGGCAGAAGGGGACAAGAGTCAGCTTTAGTTGCTTCCCAGAGCAATCACCCAAATGTAAAGTTTCCCAAGTGGACGAACTTTTGGTGTAATTGCGGGTAGCCTGAGCACCATGACTTCTAACAAGCAACATATGATATTGTCCTGGCAGCCCTCTGACCTCAGAGGGGAATGGTTTTTTGTTTTTTGTTTTTTGTTTTTTTTTTTTTTTTTACCTGTGAGTTGTTCAGATTCCTCTTTGTTGGTCTGGATGGTGGTGCCATTGGATTTACTGAGGTCAACTGGCTCCACACTGCTGTTGGCCCACGTGGAGACCTGCTCCACAAAGCAGGGAGACAGCGGCGTTCCCACTTGTACAAAAAGGGTGCACGCCAGCTCTGTCTTGGTGCCTTGGCTGGAGTTGCGCAACGTGGAATAAACAGCATGCATGAAATCCCTCACTCTTGGGTCTGTAAAAAAGGAACTGGAATAAGTCAACAGTGCATGTGTGAGTAAGGAGCTGGCATAACCCCATCTTTACTTTGTATTTAAATGGGACTCAAGCAATGCCACTTTTTGAGGTGCATTCATTCTATGTGGTCAGCTGGTTAAGTTGTAGATAATTTGCTTAGGAATCAGCCTAGTTCCTCAAAGTAAACATTGAGAAGAAAGCACGCTAGCTCTGAAAGCAGTGCGGCTGCTTTCAGTGGAGGCACCTCCATTCTCTAGATGATAGAAACTGGTTTGTTTTCTCCTAACTTCTTGATTCAGGAACTTTGGCAAGTGAGGGAGGGATGATTCTAGAGCTTAGAAAATCACAAGTTCAATGTGCAGGACGATTCAAATGCTAGCAAAGTCAAGAGATTTATGTCCAGTGTCACCGCTAACAATGATGGGAGGAGGAGGGGTTGTGCTGCTGTGAATAGACCTCAGTAGGGTCTCATATCCATCTCCATGACTGCACAGTATAAGCCTGAGTGACCTTTCAGTGCAGCCTCTTTTACAAGTATGCATACAGTTTGAGAAACACAGAGGAAAAGTGAGACAGGAACTCCTCCCATCCTCCATCTGCCTGACATCCAGCAGACGACTCATTATTAATGTCAGTGAGCTGCTGCAAGGATGCTGTGGAAATAAACATTTGAGAGAGAGTGGTAACTTCCACCTTCTTGCATGGCAGCTGGATGGACTACTATTTATTTACTATTTACACAGGAGAGTGCTGTTTTCTCTGTATAATCAATACTGGATTTAATTTTCATGCTATTATTTGCAAGATGCAGCTTCTAGTTTCCTTAGGCATCCTGCGACTGAAACGAGGCCTTCCACTCATCGGTAAGACTGGACACAGTTGAGGTCCTCCAGCTTTATACTCCTGACCATGCAAGTTAGATTTGACTTTACTGAGGAAGGCCATCTGTATTTCTGGGATCACATCATTGCAGGATGTTGACTCTGCAGAGAAGCTGTGGGGGTGTTTGCAGAAGTGAAGCCTCCTGGTTGTACAGGCTTCCTGTACAACCTTCCCCTTTCCCTTCTTTGTACTTCTCCTTTGTCTCTGGTACAACCCAGTAGTTGTCCCCAACCACTTTCTGGAAGACACAGTGCTGAGTCCCTTTCCTGCACCAACTGCCCCAGCTAGCTCTGCTGCTAGACTATTGCATGACCCTCTCACTCATCTGTCCCCTCTAGCACCTTCTAGGCTACAGAGGCCAACTCAGGAGTCAACAGCATACTCTGAGTAACTGGCTCACATTCTCTGTGGGACATGGCACTCAGAATCCACCCTAAAAGTCATGGCTGCCAGTCCTAGTTTGCATATCACAGAGGCAGGCAAATATTACTCATTCCCACCATTCATTAGCCCAACTGCTTGTTAGAATATACAACTGTAAAAAAAATTAGATTCCATGAATTACAGCCTAGTTTGAGTGCTTGTATTTATTGGGAGAAAAGAATTAAATAGAAAAAATATGTACTTATAATTAGATTTTGCCTAGTAAAGAAGGTCATCGCTATTTCTGGGATCACACCCCTGTAGAACATTGTCTGTCTGCAGAGAAGCCTTGAGATATTTCAAGGCCTGTAGTGCAGAATGAATTTAGGAATGGTCCTGAGTTTTTCTCTTCATCCCTCTGGCTGGGGACCAGTGTTTTTTTTTTTTTGTACTGGGTATTGAACTGATAACCTTACACTTGCCAGGCAGGCTCTTGTGCTGCTGAGCTAAATCCCCAGCCCAGGACCAACATTTTTACAGTCAGGAACATTAACAGAGCACAGTCAGCTGGCTTGAAGTAGATTTTAGTGCAAACCTTTACCTGCACTGATTAGTCCCTGTTTATGCAAATAGGAAAGAGCTTTTCTACATGTGCCATAATACACATCACTAGATTAAAAACTATCAAGCGGTAACAGTGATGATAGACACTGTGCAGCCTGCTCCACATACCTGGTCACATTAAATCTTTCTATGAACATTGTGACTGGGGAGCTATTATTATCCCCATTTTATAGATGAGGGATCTGAGGCTTAGGCAAATTCATGGTGGCACTTGCTCTGTGTAGTAACTAAGTGGTAGGTGACAGTGCCTCACTGTGCTGTCTACCCAGAGGGCAGGGAACAGGTAAACAGATTCTAATAAATTCTAATAAATCACTGAGTGAGGGAAGGAGGGAAGGAGCAGTATAGATCAAGAGCATAATGAGGGGGGTGTGCAAAAGGGTCCCTGGGCAAGTGCAGAGCGGGAAGAAAGTACTGGAAGCATCTATGAATCCTGCAGCAAATCAGCCTTTTAGTTCATTTGACGAGTGTGGAAAAAGGTCTTCCTTTTTAAATAAATCTGCAGGACAAAATTTCTTGAATATGATACTGAATGCTGTAGGTCTTAACTTTGTAAGGTTAATGGCTATAAAATTCTCAAACTATAAGAACTATCGTTTCAAAGCTGGTATTTTAGTTGCCTGTGAACTAAAAGGGAGTTAAGCTCTCCAGTGGATTTAGTGAGTTGTGAGGAAATGAGGTTGCCTACGATGAGAAACAGAGAAGATAAGTTATGTACACATCATGCAACTGCTCCACAGCTGAAGGGGTGCCGAGGAATTGCATAAAGCACACAGGACACGGAAGCCGAAACTATGGAACTGGAATCCCAGCTCTGTTGCTTGCCTTTTAGGCGAGCTGAGTTTGGCCAAGTCATTCATTCACCTTAATGTAAAATGGGCCATGTTAATAAAATGTTAATAAAGGCCTAGAAATTGTAGAAGATCTCTTTAGGGGATCAAATGTCATAAGCACTTCTAACATAAACTCCATAGGCATTATGAAAGAGAATCCAAGGAACCAGATCACCTTTATCTTTGAGGCTTTTGCTCCTGGCACTCTTTTATGCTTAATAGAACATATTAAAATTTCTCCTAATTTCTCCTTTATGAATTTACTTAAAAGAACAATGAAAATTCCCAGAAGCTAGGACATTGTTTAATGTGGTGAAAATAGGGTGCTTTTGGAGGATATCTCTGGTTTTTGTTCTGAACTCATCTGGTGCTGCAGGACCAGCAGCAAAACTGCTGCTTGCCACATAGTGTCTGGGGGTACAGTGGGAGGACAATGCTGATGTATTGCCTTGCAACTTGGGCAGATCTTTCTGTTGATTAAACAGGCACAGGGCTCCCAGGCTCCTGGGATGTCCTTAGCTCCTGGTTTTACAGCTGCATTATAGGTAGGTATTAGCTTTTATAAGAAAGGCTGGGCTAGGACAAGGGATGAGCACTGGTGTGTAGTTTTAAGCAGTGCACATGAGTTTCTTGGAGCTGCTCTGGTACAAACCAAAGCACAGAGTTGTGTGAAACAGAATTCTGAAAATAGTACATTCTTGTTCTTGGTATTAACTATGGCTCCATAAAATGATAAACCAGTTTATGATTAAGAAAATTAAGGGAGATTATTGTTCCATGGAGTTTGACTATTAAGCGTTCTTGACATTTGCTGATTCTCTAATGGGCTCTGTGATATCTTCGGCCACACTGCCCTGCCCTGAACACACCTGGTCTCATTTTAGGGCTCTGTGAAAAGAGCATCATCACATTTGCTTAACCAGTCACCATGACTGCTCTTGACAACAGAGAGTTGATTATACAGTTTCCTTTCTCTGTGGGATAGTGACACTTGCATTTCTCACTCGCCAATCCTGACTTTTGTGAGGCTCTATTTAAAGGTCCATTCCTCAGAGCTCAGATGTCATGTCTTTGGGGAAACTTTCTGATCTGTCAGCAGAATCAAGCACTTCCTCCACATACTAACCTGATTTACCCAAATGCACGTATGGCACTGAATTAGAGGTTTTTCTATGTGTATTGCTCATCTGAGAGTGAGCTGCCTGCATTCAGAGTTATTATATGTTTCCAGCACAGCACTGACCCTTGCAGCAGCAATTCCCAAGACCCTGGCAGATTTCATTGCACTGAGTCTATTGTGGGTGAAGAATAACTTGGTGTGTGAGTGTACTTCTGTGATACACTTGCTGAGAGAAATTAAGGTTAAAAACCTGTCTTCAACCTCAGTTATCTCCAGAGGAGACACACACTTGTCTATAGGCTATCAGGATCATGAGAAATGTTTTGGCAGGGCACAGGGAGTAGATGCAGAGCGACGGGGAGTTCACCTTGTCCTGGGGTCCAGCTGAATGCTAACTAATCTTTACTCGCCAACTGAAGATTTCATTGTAAAGCTTGCTCTCCAGGCAGTATTGGTATTAATTCTTGTGCTTTCTGATAAATATTAATTTATGCAAAGGTCACTGTCGTCTGTTTTATTGACATCTTGTCCTGAGTTGGGGAAGAAAAAGTTGTGCAAGTGACTGCTACCTTAGTGTGGAGCTGGTTGGCAGGCACTGAGGATAAGCATTAAGCTGAGGCTAAGCTACAATCAAGAGACTCTCACGGCTGTTGTGGAACTCTTCTAAAACACAGAATTCACAGAAATAAGCTGGCAGGTCAGGCACTGGCCAGAAGTCACAGATTCATAAAAGCGGGCTTGTCAATAGCATGAGATCTAGAGCCAAACAGTCTGGGCTGAGCTCCAGCTCTGCCCCTTACTGGCTGTGACTGCCAGAGAATTGCTCCCACTTTCTGTACCTATTTGCTCATCCTCTATCCCAATAAGGTTGTTGTGTGGCTATTCATTTAATTAATATTTTAAGGTGCTTCCCACACTGCTTGGCACTTAGCGAGCTCTATAAAAGGGTGTATGAAATGAAATTGAAATATTGCCATGGAATCCAAAGTTAGAAGGGAACCTTAAAAGTCCAGGGTGATCCCTGTTCCAAAGTGGGAATGCCTTCTGCTGCATTCGTGCCCAGTGGTCATCCTGCTGTGGATTTGCACACCAGCTAAGCACCCCCTATCTGAAACAGCCCGAGCCGGGAGTTGAGCCGGAGCAAGAATATGGGCAAGGATGAATGTGAACAGGAGAGAAAGTGTGACAGACCGACAGAACTCTTACCATGTACAGTGTATCCCAGTGCATCTGCCAGCTGCCGGCTAGTATTTCCCTGGGCTCCAAACTGTAGAATCTCTAGCGCGAGAGACACACCAGCAGGTGAGATGACAAAATTTGTCCCATTTTCCCCCGCTGCCACACTGTGGTAGAGTCGGAGTGCAAATTCTGTCTTTTTCCAGGGCAGGCCTTCCTGAGGGAGGAGACTGCTTCCTCTTCTGGGGAAGCAGGAGTGGAGGAGGAGGAGGGTGAGTGGCAGGAGAGGCAACATGGCAGCGGGGAGACCTCCTGTAGTTCAAAAGGAAGAGATGCAGGTTGAGGCAGGCGATGCCACAGAGAAGCAGGACGCCCGGTTCATGTGCATGGCTGTCCGAGTGTGGAGTTGGGAATGGCGGAAGGAGAGATTCACTAAGCTGTCCTGGTCACCCATCTATGAGATCAGCCACCAGTCTGCTTGATTGTACAGGGATCTTCTCGTGTTTTATATTCAGCCAGCTTATAGCTGTGCCATGCTTATCACAAATAATAATATTAATAATCATTGATAATTATCTATCATGTTATAAAGGACTTTATATGTCCCCATTCAGTTAATCATTCCAACACTCTTACTAGGTAGCTGTTTTTATTTTTCCACAATAGAGAAGATGAGTGAGGTTTAGAGAGCTCAGTGGCCCATTTACATCAGAAACCAACAGGGTTGTGACTCCAATCCTGCTTTTCTGAGTGGTCTATAAAATTCTTTAGGGTCAGGGGTGTAGCTCAGCAGTATAAGTGCCTGCCTGGCAAGCGTGAGGTCGTGAGTTCGATCCCCAATACCAAAAACAAACAAACAAAAATACTTTAAAACACTGCTATATGAATCAAGTGTGGTGGCACATACCTGTAATCTCAGCATCCTAGAGGTGAGACTGCAAATTTGAGGCCTGCCTGGGCTACCTAATGAGTTCAAGGCCAGTTTGAACTATATAGGTAGATCCTGTCCTGACAAACCAAAAAATTGATGTATGCCTTAATCACCAAGAATTCCAGAATTCTCATAGAATTAATTTCATAAGAAAGAACACTTTCACAGAGAGAGAAGTTATGGGAAAGAAGGTTCCTACCACAGAACTATACCCTTCCAAGGAACAGAGAACAACCACTAGCTAGAAATTAATGCCTAGAGAGAAAAGCAAAGCAAAAACTTTTTCCATACATATGCTACTCAGATGACATAATTTTCACCAAGTAGTCTAACTCTGGAATCATACTGGACTGATGTGACATAGACTCCATTCAAAGTCACTTTTTATGGAAGTCTTCAAACAAGATCCTGAGTTCAGTAGGATTTCCTTCAGACAAAGACCCAAGATACAAAACCATCTCTTGTTTTCCATCTCTTTCTCCTGAAGCCAGACATAAATGCAGTGTATGGATGATCTTGGTAGCATTTCTGCCTGTGTGCCTATGTTTATGTACCTGGAGATAGCAAGCCCCAGGCCAGGGTCATTTGTGAAAGCCTCAAATCCCACTTCAGGAATCTTGCAGCTGGTATAGCTTCCCATAGGAATATTTAGCCCTTAGCAATCAGATCTTGATGCCCAAGACTGTCCATAACCCAAGCCCCACTGGCTCACCACAGATGAGCTGCTTACTCGCAGTCTCTTGAGTCAGAGTGTTGAGTTCTCGTGCTCAGTTCTGTTCCTGTGGGTCTCCAGCACTATGTGCTCCCTTTAAAACACAAAATCAAAAAGAAAAAAAAAAGTGGAGCAGAATCTGCTTTGAATCACAAGACAGAACAGGGAGGAAACTGGTGATTGTCGTCTCTGCCGGCGATGTCTCTACCACTCAGTCCAAATTCCTAGAGCTTGGAGGTCCTGGGAGCCAGGGAGCAGGAGAAGCAGCCCAGCCCAGGCAGCAAAGCCCAGATTGGGAACAGAGTGGGGTCCTGGGGACAGAGCCAGCCATACCCGTCAAGCCTTCTTAGGCTTGTGACCTGGTTGTACCAGCAAGGAACCCCTTGTCTAGCTCTGTGTCACTTTGAAGAATTCCACTGATAACTCTGTGTCTGGGATTTTTCTAGGTACCAGGTACTTACTGCTTCTCCCTTAGTTCTGTGAAGAAAATAGTAAGTCTGTTTTTGGGCATGAACTGAAACTTTAGCGAATCAAATTCTGCAAAAGAGAAAGAAAGCAATGTAAAGTCTGACACAGTTTGCAACAGGGTGTCTTGTTTTTTTTTTCATTATTAATAAAAGTGAATACATTCATTTATTTGTTACATGAGCACTATTAAGAATCAATGACTCAATTTGACAGAGAGAGAGAGAGAGAGAGAGAGAGAGAGAGAGAGAGAGAGCTGTACTGACAGGTTGTCAGTAAATAGAAGCATAGTTTTGAAAAATATAAATGGCTTTTGTCAGATGTTCATCAATTGTGACCAACTTAGAATTATAAACATTTCTGTTAAGGCCTTAGATACTTCATTAAGTTCAAAATAGACGGTAGGTTGTATGTTGTTAAAGATTAAAGAAAAAAAGAAGATATTTGGAAACAAATACAATTCTTACTAGTTAGATATCTGTTAGTGTTAATATTTAAAAATGAATGGATTATATTTTTACCTGACAACTAGGCGGGCCCCTACAATCAGAAGGCAGTTCACTTTAAGCAGAGTTCTATTGCTAACACCCAAGCATGGAATAGTTAATAGGTCTTAAGATAGTTACAGTTTAATATTTATTTCCCCTCAAATCTTAAATTTAAATATAAGTTCATTATTGTGTCCCTTGTACTCTAAGCCATAGTATGATAGGAAAATCAATTTGTTTAATTTATTCTATAGAACCCAGAGAATACATGTCATCCATAGATCCACTCATCCATCTCCACCCATCCATCCATCCACCTATTCATCTCCGTCCATCCATCCCACGAATAGCCTCCTATTTGATTGCCTGATTGCCTGCTTGGTTCTGGGGCTCTGGGGATGTGGCAGTGAACCAGCAACTTGGGCTAACCTTTCATGGAACTTAAAGCTTTGTTCCTTGAGTTGATACTTAGATGTTGACGGTATTAAGAAGAAAGAGTCATAGTAACTTAACAGGGGCCGTCTGGCAACATTATGAGGACTATTTGTAACTTAATTATGAGGCCTATTTGGCTGTAATTATTTGATCAGAATCTGGTTCACAATTTGCCACTGCAGGGGTGGAGAGATGTTTGTAAAACAATTTCCTGAATTAGAAGAAGATTGTTGTGTGTGACTTCTGTGAGTATTCTTTCTTAACTAAAAATGTAGCTTTCTAGATTGCTTTGAATAAGATTTTTCCAGAAACAATGCCAGAGAAACATCATAAAAGAGAGGTCTCTTACACAGGCTGAACATTTCAAAGTGTGAATAAATGAGATGAACTGCAGCTGACTCCTGTGTGTACTCAGTGGTGAACTGGTGAAGTCGTTGGGCTCTGATAATTTTGGTAGAGACTGTCATGTTTGTTTCTATGTTGGTCAGGTAGATATTGGTTAACTTCTAAGGGAAGCTTCATTCAGATATTTATTTATAATTCTAACAACAAAAACACTGAACATTATTGAATATTTTCAGTGTTCTACATTCTGTGTTACACACTTCCTATCCACTATTGCAGTGAATCCTTACAACAATTCTATGAAAAATATATATTATTCCCAGTCTTCTAACAAAAAAAATAAGGCCAAAAGAGCTTAAAAACTTGCCTCAGATCCTGCCAGGAGAAACTGGGGTTGAAATCTAGGTCCATCTTGACTCCAAGACTTACACTGTTTATCGCAGTTGTGGTGGTGCCTGTTGACAAGCTTCCTGTTATGCACAGGGACTAACTTCCAAGACATTCTTTAAGTGCCTGGAACAAAAGACAGCAACAAACACTGTAGTTTTACAACTATGCTATTTCTCCCATACACATATACATATCTTTGACAAGGTTTAGTTTATAAACTACTCACCATAAGAAATAAAAACAACTCATAATAACATGGAAAAGTTATAATGACATAATGTAATAAAAGTTATCTAAAACTTATGACTTGCTTATTTCTGGAATTTTCTCTTTAATATTTTTGGACTGTACTTGACTGCAGGATTGGAAACGTCAGAAAGTAAACCTCTGAGGTACAGGGGAAGGGCTGTACAGGAAAGTCCTGTTTTCCTAACTATTAAATACTGCATTGGCATGGTATGTTTGTTATAACTAACATTGATATTAACTAAAGTCTAAGTTTACATTAGGGTTTGCTCTTTCTATTACCCAATTCTGTGACTCATCTCAAAGGTATAATGTTATATATTCCCTTTACAGTAATGTTCAGAATAGTTCCACTGTCCTAAAAGTATACTCCTTCCCTACAGTCCCTGGCAGCACTCAGCATTTTACTCTCCTATAGTTAGTTTTACCTTTTCCAGAATATCACACAAGTAGAATCACATAGGTGGAGCCTTTTCAGAATAGGTGCTTTCACTTACTTTGTATTTAAGGTTTCCTTTATGTCTTTTTGTACCTTGGTGGCTCATTTGTTTTTATCACTAAATAATATCCCCATGCATAAATTTACCACAGTTTATTTATTCATTTACTTATTGAAGCACATCTTTTTTGCTTCCAAGTTTTGGCAATTTTAAATAAAGCTGCTGTAACCTTCTGTGTGCGGAGTTTAGCATTAATACAACATCAACTGGGTAAATAAGAGGCTATAGCTGGATTATATGGTAAGATTAGATTTAGCTTTTGAAGCAACTGCTAAACTGTCTTCTAAAGGGACCGTGCCTTTTGCAATTTCTACCAGCAATTAATGAGATATTCCTCTTGCGCCCTATCCTTGCCAACATTTGGTATTGTCACTGTTTGGGAATTTTAGTGAGACTAATATTCAGGTAGTGGTATCTCAATGTCTTAATTTGCAATTCTATAATGTCATTTGATGTCAAGCATCTTTTTGTATGTGTATTTGCCATTTATGTATGTTCTTTGTGAGGCATTCAGGTTTTTTGTCACTTCATAATTTGATTCTTTGTATTTTTACATTGAATTTTAGTCATTTTTCATATATTTTGGTTATAAGACCTTTCTTCTGGTTTTTGGTTTGTCTTTTTTCTTTTTTTTTGAGGCAGGTTCTTGCTGTGTAGTCAGGATGGCCTTGAACTCATTACGTAGCCCAGGCTGGCCTTGAACTCTCATGGTGATCCTCCTTCCTCAGCCTCCACAGTGCTGGGATTACAGACATGTACCACCACGCCTGGCTTGTCTTATCTTTTCAACTCACTTGATTTATAGAGTTAAGATATATAACGTAAAGTTAAGATATATAATGTATAATATAATGTAAAATGATCTTGCAGGGACTTCAAGGAAGGGCTTGGGAGAAGATGCTATGTCACCATCAGCACTGTTGATTCTCATTCTATGTTTGAGTGCACATGCAAGCCAAATAACCACATTTTTTTTCCTTCTTGGTGGAGAGAGGAGGAAAATTAGGTAAGGGGAATAAGGACAGGTTATAGCTTGTATGTAGATGTTCCTCATGCAATCCTAGGTAGGGCTTTTCAGAGGTGTTTGAATATAGGGTGTGTAGACATAGGTTAAAGGTAAGTATGTGCTAATTAAATTAGCTCCCTGATTGTTTTAGCATAGCTCTGGGTGTGGTTAATGGGAAGGCCCACCGTAGGTGTGGATGGTACCATCCACTAGATTTAAGCCTGAATGGATTAAAAGGGAAAAAGCAGAAGGAACAGTGCTGCCTCCTGCCTTCACTTTAAAGGACAGTTTCTCTCTTGCCATACCACCCTGCCTTGGAGCCATTGGCCATGAACTGAAACCTCTACAAACTGTACACTAAAATAAGCCTTTCCTCCTTAAACTTTTGCTGGTCAGGTATGTTGTTCCAGCAATGAGGAAGTCTAAGACAGAGAGCTACTTAAAATGGCTTAGGTTTCAAGCATTGTGAAAGAGCTAACCTTGTAGGCAGGCCCTGGGCACTATGTGCCATTATTCTGTCCTAGGGGTACAGGAAAGCTGCATCTCCACTTTTGAGGTGATTGCTGAGAAAATGCTGTAGGTTCCTCAAGGGACAAGATGAAGGAGATGTTTTAAAAGCATATGCCAGTGCTAGCACCCATATTATATGAACACACCTCTGCAGGAGATGCAGAAGGAAGAGGAAGGGAGGGTGTGTGTGGGGTTGAGATTAAAAAGTCTTTATTTCTATTTTCAACATGTGGGTGCTAGAGATGATGATAGTAATGAGGTTCAGTTGCTGCCCAAGTGGAGAAGGGAAACAAATATGAGAAATGGGGCAGGGCGGCACAAAGAAACAACAAACAGCTGGCACTGTTCTGGAATTTTCTGGATACACAAGAGAGACACACAGCATCTGTGTGCACAACAATACCCAAAAAAGCACACAGATTTATCCCCCAGTGCTCTAAACCCAGCAAGCCAACTGGAAGGGGGAAGAGTGGTGGTTTTGGGCTGCAGACTTAAGGCAGGCCCTGCTGATGCCTCCCGTTGATCTTCTGGATGATAAAGGTCTAGGGGTTCTGCTGGGGAAAATGTCTCCATTGAAGCCCCACTGCATTACCCTTTAGAGCAACCCCATTCAAGCAGAACCCAAACCTGATTTCCCGAAAAGAAAAATGGGATCTTTTATGCACAGTGGACTCCCAAGAATATCTTTTTTTTTCTTTTTTTGGATTATCAGTACACATCTGACATGACTAGGTTTTGTATTACAAGGCATTAGTCCTCAGGCTGAAGCAAAAGCTTATGTTCAGGATGTGGAGTAAAACTATCACACCCAAATATCACCTAATTTAAACAGGGCAGGGGCATAAAATGTGCACCAGCTGATCAGTCTCTCTGCTAGCTTTGTGGCCACTCAGACTGCACATTGGTGGCTCATCTTTCACAGGTCTTGGTTTCCATCTTTTCCAGGACAAAAATCCCCTAAGGTCAGCATGTTGTTGATGGCAATCAGCTCAGGACATTCCTGGGAGATGTAGGAAGTCAACGCTCAGGACGTCCGGCAGCTGTCTCTGCACACACTGGGGAAGCCAGGCACACTGGGTGCCTTTCACAGTCCATTGGTTTACATTTGCAGCCACTGTATTTTAGATGCACCACAGTTACTTAAGCCATTACATCATGAGCTACATTAAGTGTTTCCAAGTTATACCACAACTTACCAGCATGTTCTGTGATTTTTCTGTATAGACTAAAACATGTTTATGACTTTGGGGTACAGCAGATGGCTGGGTCCTTTGAAGAAGGTAGCCATATGCTTATTGGTAATGAAGTAAACATTTTTACAACTTTACTTTTGAGAAAAACATGTTCCCAAGCAAATGAATGCTTAGGATGGAAACATTGTTTACCAGTTTAAAACACAGCAAACTGATTTCTAGTCTTTCCTGTTAAAATGTAGGATGAGGGATCTTTAAAAAGTTCATTTTGTGTATTGTAGACTGATCGGTAGGTTATTCCTGACACTTATTGTTGACTTCAGTGTGTATTTAGATAGCTTGAATTTTCCAAGCTATTTTATAACTAACATCATAGAAGCAGAGAAATACTCCTTTCAGCTGAGAATATTTTATTGAAAAAATTCTGCAAAAAGTACTGAGAAGAATAATGGAAATCTGATCATATTGGCTGTCAGTGCTTTGATTTGGACATTTTAGGCACCATGCTCCATGAAGATGAGGAAAGTTTTTTATTCTAAGTTGTATTCCCAATTCTGAGAAGAGATTCTGCATACAGAGGTACTCAACACATGTTTATCAAGTGACATTAGTCAGCTGTCTATCACTATAACACGCATCTGAAATAATCAACTTACAGAGACGAGGTTTATTTTGGCTCAGAGTTTTGAAGGTTCTAGTCCATCAGTGGTTGGTGCTGTTGCCTGTGGTGAGGAAAAGCACATGGCAGAACAAAACCACTTTCTTCATGGCCAGAGGGCAAAAGAGTAAAAGAAGACACTCCGGTGCCACAGTTGTCTTCTAAGGCTTATCTCCAATATCTTCAAGACCTCCCACTAGACTCTGTTTTAGTGTTTCCACCACCACATGGCTTTTGGGGTAGACATTCCAGATCCAAACTCAAGCAGAAAGGCAGGTTGAACTTCTCCACAAAATGCTTTGTCGCCCCACCCTTCATTCCTCGGAGTTCCAAATATTACCTAAGTGCTGTTTTACCAAAAACTCCTTCCCTTTGAGATAAGGCAGTAGGCGTTTGCAAAGTTGTACAAATAAGAATAAATGCCTCACATACTTTACCCTAAGTTACTGTATTAGTCATTTTTGTGTCACCAGGACACAATAACTGGCGCCCACAATTTAAAGGAAGAGGGGTTTATTTTGGCTCAGAATTTTTAGAGGAATTGGTTGGCTCCCAGGCAGAAATGGCATGGTGGGAGAGCTTGCCAGAAGAAAGCTGCTCCCTGGCTGCTCCCCGACTTTCATGGCATCCAGGAAGCAGAAAGGGAAGGGAGGAGCTGGAGATGAGAGTGCACCATTCTAAGTCCCTACACTGGCTCCTCTCCCAGACAGTGACCAACCTTCAACCCCACCCCCATCGCCTGACAGCATATTCAGCTATAAACTCATCAATGCATCAGTCCACCAGGGAGGATAGCACCCCCATAATCCTATCATTTTTCAAAGCCTCACCTCTGATGACATGAGAGTTCTAGGGACCACTCCAGAGTTAAACCACAAGAGCTCCCCAAGTGGAGTCACAGTAAAGTGAAACATCCTGGCTGTGGATCCCAGGCTCCAGGGTGCTGCTCACACAGCCAGGAGAGGAAGCTTGAGCCAGCTGTTTGCCTACTTACCAGAGGCAGCCCTTGTCCTAGTTCCTCCCTGTCGCTCTGGATCCTGCCAGGATTCTGGGGAAACGAGTCTTCCTCCTGGACGTTTTAGGTCTGGTGTATATCCAGATTTCATGGCCTACGAAGGCCCTGTGGGGACTGATGCCTGGTTTCTAAACTCTGGAGTTAATGAGGAGCCCTGAGGAATGCTGGATTTCTTTGCTGTAAATGTGCAGATGTAGGCTGCAGTACTCCTGAAGAGACAGGAGCTGTGGTGCTGTGAGCTGGAGTTTTTGTTTTTTAAGCCATGGACCAGTGAGTCAGCAGAAAGACTAACCTAATGGCCCCATAGCTCAGTCCCGATTTTGTCATTAACTGCTCACGGAATCATCTGGGCCTCATGTTTTTTAAGTCTTTAAGCATCAGTTTCCTAATCTGTAAAGCAAGAATAATAAATAATAAATCCATCTCAAGTTAGTGTCCAAATGAGATAGAGTATATGAACGCACTTCGTAAATCATGAATTTGTATAAAGACATATTATTATTTTTAGTTAGATTTTTAAAAATGAGAGTCAAATTTTATTAAGAGCTGTGTCTTTAGCATTATCTAATTTAATGGGGTCATAAACATTCTGTTAGGCAAATGCTCCACATGGTCATTTCATTACAGAAATCTTTTAATAAAATAGGAAATTATAAAGAAGAAAACCCAAAATACTCATCATTCTCCTCATATACTAATTTGTTGGTTATTACAGTTTCTTTTTTAACCTGGAAGGGGTATTGGTGCCAGGTAGGTTAAAGTGGTAGGACATGCGTGTGTGTGTGTGTGTGTGTGTGTGTGTGTGTGTGGCAGCTCATGTGTCTGTGCTCTGGCACTGACTCTAGTGACAGTAGGGTGTGGGGGTATCCTCAGAAGGGTACAAAAAGGATGGACAGCATAAGCCTATTATCTGAAGTTTGGATTGTGTTCACCTTGGCAGGCGCATTAATCAGGGTTCGTCAGAGAAAGAAAAAAGGGGGCAGAAGGCAGAAAGAGAGAGAGAAAGACAGAGACAGAGACAGAGACATATAGCCAATGATGTAAGCTCCAGTCTAAAACCTAGTAATCTTTTTTTTGGTCTTTTTTCGTTTTTATCGGTACCAGGGATCAAACTCACGACTGCCTGCTTGCAAGGCAGACACTTATGCCGCTGAGCTAAATCCCCAGCCCCAAAACCTGGTAATCTTGAGACCAAAGAAGAGCCAGTGTTTAAATTCAAACCTCAAAGTGGGAAAAGGCCATGTCCATGCTCAAGACAGTAAGGCAGAAGTTTCTTATTACCCAGCTTTTTATTCTGTTCAGGCCTTTGATGAAACGCATCCCATTCACATTTGGGAGTGCACTCTACTTTCTAAAGTCTAACCAGCTCAGATGCTCGTCTCATCCAGAAACACCCTCCCAGTCACTCACATGATAATGTTTTACAAACATCTGAGTGTACTGTGATCAAGCTAAGTTTACACAATTAACCATCACAGCAGAGTGTGTTTCCTTGTCTCAGGCTGGTGCCTCTCAGTTTCTACACTTCTGGATCCTTCCCCATGCCCGGGAGGCCCTAGGTGACCAGTTAACCCTGCTAGCTGTTACTGTGAAAGTGAGGCGGTTTGGACAAGGGCAAACCCTGCCGCTGATAGGAAGGCGCGTTTGAAGCAAAGTGTAGCACTAGAGAATTCTTCACCCATCAGGGATGGACCTGGCTACAGCACTGAGGTCTAGTTCAGTTCAGCTCTGGAGGAAACCACAGGACCCTCTGCTACCGAATGTCTGCATGAGTGAAGCTAGCTAAGCCCTCCTGTTTTGACTACACATTGCACTTAAGAAGAAGGATGTCTTGAGTTTGGGTGCAAATTTCTGCAAAGTGACAGGTGGGCCCATGAGTCCTGGCAGTTTTCTTCTACCACAGCAGCCACACACCATTCTGATTCCTCTAGGTCTCTTACATTTTGTTACTTCCAGGGTGGTCTCCCCTTTGCATTGAGTGTTCACTGGATCTCATTAATGGAGGCAAAGAACCGAACCTGAGACCTGGGACTGCAAAGAACTAAATTGGGGAAGCAGGGAAATGTGGATGGACAGTGCATTTCTGCACAGTGCAACAGCCCCAAGGCAGGAAGTACCATGCGATGAGCACCATGCAGGTAGTGCAGAGTACCTAGGGGAAGGGAACCACCCCAACCCGGAGAAGCTCCCCATTTAAGGGGAGACAGGCGTGGTGAATATCTTTGTAAGGTTCCATAAGGTACATGAAAATGCTTTCTAAGTAATGATGTTTTATAAAGATGTTTTTCAGTTAGATTTTTATACTTATGAAAGACTTCATATAACAGCTCTCAGAAATATTTGGTTATTATTTTAAAAATTAATTCTTGGAGATAGATATGATTGCCCATTTTTGTAGGTGTGAAACAGGAAAGAAAAACTTGCTTGTTTGCCTTCTGTCTCTGTTTCTTTTTTTTCTCCATCTGTTTCTCTCTCCCTATTACTCTTGCCCACTTTTTTCTTCCTTTCTTTGTCCTTCCTTTTTTTTTTTTCTCTATTTCATTAAATAAATACTTAACACCTCTCACGTATCAGGGAGCTTCTGTACTCAGTACTGGAATTCATTGGGGCAAAAGATACAGATCATGTCTGTCTTCTTAGGCATCCACAGTCCAGTGGAGGCATTGCCAGCACATAACAACAAAGAAAGCAACGCAACTACTATTATGATAGGAAGATAAGACTATTCACTAGGGCCTAAGCTGAGGACAGTGAGAATTAACCTCCAGTCACCTGTCTTTTGTGACTGGGGTCATATTTGCTTTGTGATAAAAAAAGATGTGAATACCTTCCTAAGTAAGTTGGGATCAAGCACTTGAAAGGTAACGATTTCCAGAACCTATGACCATGACTGTAGGAAAAATCCCCAGGTGAATAGCAGTGGAATCTGAATACTTGAGTGTAAGTTGTGTGTCACTGGCATTAGCCAAAGGCCTCCCAGCCCAGAGGTAGTCCTTAAGGACACGTGTAAACCAATCACAGAATCTTAGAACCATGTGTTGTATTATGTGACCAAGTGCTCCAGGGCTGTGGGGCATCAGGAAGGGAATTGTGTGGAAATGGGAGGGGCTACACATGTGGCATTCTCTAGTATGTGTAAATGGGAAATAAACTTGCCTGTGCACCATCTCTGATCTCAGAAATTTAGATTTTTTTGTGGTATTGGGGATTGAATCCAGGGATTTCATGTTGAGTTATATTCCTATCTCTTTAAAAATATTTTTTTTTAAATTTTGATACAGAGTTTCACTAACTTCTTAAATTGCCCAGGCTGGACTTGAACTTGCAATCTTCTTGCCTCAACCTCTCAGAGTTCTGGGAGAATAGGTATGTGCCACCACATCCAGCTTTAGAATTTTTATGGAGAAAATAGGCCTAGAATTTGTTAACAACGACAAAAAATGATTATTCACTTACCTATTGGTGTGTTAGCCTTTTGTTGCTGTGACAAAATATCAGATATAAACAACATAAAGGATAACAGATTTATTTTGCCTTATGGTTTCAGAGGTTTTATGGTCAGCTTACTGCACTGGTTTTAGGCTGCGGGATAAGATATACCCTTCAAAGTCACACCCCTCAGGGATCTATCTTTTCCAAATACTCTCCACCTCCTAACAGTCCATTGTGCTATGAACTAATCAATGAATTAATCCATTGATGAGGTTAGTGCTCTCATGATCCAATCATGTCTCTAGGCCCTCCTTTGAAAATCGCACCCTGCGGTCTCAGTCTTCAATACATGAGATTTGGGGTATACTTCATATATAGATACAACGATATATTAATTCATTCAACAAACTATTGGTTTTGGAGCATGTATTTTGAACTAAGGCACTAGGGTATGTTTTGGAGATTGAAAAAAATCAAGATATTGTGTGTCTGTTGAGTTTGAGGGTGAGGAGATAGCACGTGTGTGGCATTTTTAATATTGCTCAGTGTGCTGTGAGTGTTATGCTTGGGGCCCTATGGGAAGAGCAAGGAGCAAAGGCAGGGCCCCCTAATGCCAGTAGGGCAGTGTCAGGAAGAAAAAGTTTCCCTGGCAGAGAGGCAATTGAAAAGACAGAAAGAAGGTGGGTTAGTAAGGGGTCCTATTTCCTTACAGGAAAGAGTGTCCTACCCCAGAAGAATCTGGGCAGTTGAGTGGCCTTGTAAGACTACAGATGCGGTAAATCATGGGGAAACAGGATAAGCAATGGCTTTGAGGGGCAGCCTACAAAACAGCATGAGACAGAGCAGGCTGATGGACAGCGATTGCTGCTGAACTGGGACAGAAGCTACCTAGCAACCCTGAGGAAGAACACTTGGTTCTGACTTAGAGGTAAGGACCAGGCTTCACCCAGGAGCCGTTGGGAAAGATGGGAAAGAAGGTGAGGGCACACTCCGGGCAGAGAACCTGAATGACAAGGACATAAATACATAGCGTGTGCTTGGCTTTGACTTCAAGCCCCTACTGGTTAGTGGAAAGCTACGGGGAAGCTGCAAAGCTGTCTCGGTCATACGACCAGATCCAGAGGGGCAGGACCCTGGTAGAGGTGTGCACAATGTGTGACAGGTAAGCTGCTTCAGGGGATTCGTATAGCATATTTCCGATGTCTGAATGGTTCATGCAGGGATAACCTCTGGTGCTGTGGCTCTGTGCCCTGCTCTGGTTTTAGCTGCCATGAAGTTAGCAGCTTTACATCACCATGACCTTCTTCCATATGCTCCTGCCTTGGAGCCAGCTGATCATGGACTGCACCTTCTGAAACAATGAGCCAGATAAACTCCTTTAACTCATGTGTGGCAAGTATTTATCCCAGCTTTGGTAAGCTATTACAGCGTGGGACACAGGAACCCTGGGCCAGCTTATGGGCTATGGGGGGACATCTGTCTCACAGTCACCTGCAAAGTTCTTTCCTTGATACTGGAACAGAGAAATCCAAAGGTTGAGAATGGGTGCTGAGCTCCGGTGAAGGAGAGCCCTGGATCCCTTGTTATGGGCCTTGAGCTATCATAATATTCTTTACTGAAACTCAGTTATTTAACTCTCCTTAGAATTCTTTGTCCTTCCAAAAAATTCCATTTTTCTCACTGAGTAGGTTTTTGGGTTTTTTTTGTAACCAAAATTTTATGAATTAATAATAGACTTTTCCAGAACAATTTCTTGTTCACATGTGCTGCCATGGGCTTTAACATTCCATGGAGCCTGGATACTCCGAGGTATGATGTAAGCATGCTCACACTGGAGTAGTGGAGGAGATCAGAAGCAGAAAGAAGAAGGCAGGGTGGACCTGATTTCACTGTGGGGATTCTCCCTTCAATAAATGTGACTTGACTCTGGTAGGATCTGCATTGAGTAACCCAAAAACTCTGGTGACAATGATTTATTTGCATGCATATCATCTTGTGCTTATTTCTAAAATACTTTTCAGAATGCATTTTAGAAATTCTTACTGGTCAAGGGGCAATGTTAGCCCTCCCCTGGACTCAGCAGAAAGCTAGGCATAACATGCATTTGGCTGCATTATACATTTAATTAATTTGCACAAGAATATTTCAATTGCTTTCTCCCTCATATGAATGAAATCCACATGATTTCCAATCTGTTTCTATGGTTTCCTTCCTCTGTTCAGTTACATTAATCAGGCTGTCAGTTTATTATGGATTTTGGTGTCTTTTTTTTCCCCCTTCAAATTTGAGTCCATATTAATTTAGTTTTCATTTCAACAGTGTTTAAAAATAGAGCAAAATTATTTTGACTAGCACACAATCAAGCCTCTAAATGTTTAAGGAGTTTGTCACAGCGGTCTAGGTTTCATTGCTTTTCTCTTGCCTTAAATGAGATATGGCTGTGATTCATTTTGCCTTGCAGCACGGTGTGTCAGCTTGTGTCTCCTCCATGATAATTTTACTTAACACTCTTGGTTGGTTGGTTACCAGTCTCTTAAAATACATCAGCTTCTCCTTGGGATTGGCCTTAGCGAATGTACTCCCATGAAGAAATTTAGTTATGCCTTTTTTATTTGGTTGTTGAAAAGCATAGTGCCAGAGCCCCTTTCAGACACTGAAAGCCATCATTTAATACTGCTCTGAAGAGCTGAAGTCCAAGACCTGACCTTGAGCTATGCTGCCCCTCTTCCATGTGACAGAGGTGGGTGTAGTACTCTCACAGCAGTGCTGCTGGCCTCAGTCCAAGTTTGTTGAATGCCCAGCTGGGTGTAGAGGTTACAGGCATGAACTTTGGAGTCAGGCTAGGCTGCTGATCTCTCTTTCTGGATATGTATGTTGGTCTGCTTCTTATCTTCCTCTGTGAGCTTCCAATTCCTCACTTGTAAAATGAGGGTGTTAAAGATCTATCCCTGAAGGTTGCGGTGAGGATCAGGGGAGATGACAGGCAGAAAGCACTTAGTAAAATTTTCCAACAACAGTAGCTATTACCATCTTGAACACTTCCTGCTTTAGCGTGGATGTTGAATGTCTCCCAAAGGCCCGTGTGACAAAGGTTTAGTCCTCAGGGTGGTGCATTTGGGATGTGGTAGAACCTTTAGCAGGTGAAGCTTAGTGGAAGGTCCTTAGGTTATTGCGGATTTGCCTTTGAAGAGGATTGTAGGATCATGACACCTTCTTCTTCTTTTGCTTCCTGGCCATGAGATAACCAGCTTGTTCTGCCATGTGCTCTTTACCAATGCTGTCCAGCACCCCCACTAGAAGACTAAAAGCAATAGCTCTGCCTATTCGTAGACTAGAATGTCTAAAACTATGAACCAAAATAAACCCTTTGGCTATGTAAGTTAATTATCTCAGATATTTTGTGATAGTGACAGAAAACTGATGAAAGCACCCCACCTTAAGGGCTCCCAATTTCTAGAATTTCTGTTGCTTGCGTGACCTGCACTTGTTGATTTCCTGTTTTAAAAAATAAGTACCTATCGGGTGCTGTGTACTTAGTTGAATACCTTGTTGGGTACTTACTTGGACTGTTTGTATTTTCGCAGTAACCCTGTGAAGAAATTCCTCATACTCTCATTTGATACAGGAGGCCCCTGACAGTCAGAGATTGAACTAAGATCAAATGGCTAACGAGCGCCAGGATTGGGAATTAGTTCTGGTATTTGCTTAGTTGCTCAGGTCTTTTTTTTTTTTTTTAATTTAACGTTTGAGGATCTTAAGCTACATTGGTTCCAATTCTACAGTGACTGCTTTGAGTGTAGGAGCAAAGTATAATATTTCTTTGAATTCCCACAGTGCCTGGAATAACTGATACATAATTGTTGATTGATCCCCTCAGAATGCCTTGAATCAGACACCTGACCGGTCTTGTGACAAGTTTTTCTTTTTGAGAGCCTTCATATCCATGAGTTAGCTCCAGGACACAGGGATGAAAGCGAGTATTATGTGTGAGGATAGGCTTGGGTATCAAGTCTGTAACCGTGGAAACCTGCTTTGCCAGGAACAGTGAGCATGAGTCAAGATCATGGCTCAAGTTCTTAATACTTCTCAACCTTCTGTGCCCTCTGTACACAGAGACAGGCAGTCAGCATGGATTAAAGAGCCCCAGTCAACCCCTACCTCTTAATATTTGGTCACTGTACAGAAGTGGGCTACCAGGTACGGAAGATTAACTGGTCTGGATTATCTACCCGGCAGATTAGCTGGCCCAAGGTAGCACAGCTGAGTATCCCTCAGCTGAGTGGAGATCATGGGAGGTCAGGGCAGTGGAAGGTTGCTGCAAAGGAAAGGTCTTGAGAGAGTTCTATTCTCTGTCCTGTTGTATGAGTGCATTAGTCCGCTCAAGCTGTCACACCAAGATGCCACAACCTGGTGGTTTAAACTACAGGAATGTATTGTGATTCACACCTCCAGGGCTGGAGAGGTTGGTAGGATTGGTGTCTTCTAAGGCTTCTCCTTTTGGCTTGTAGTTGACTGTCTTTTTCCTGTGTCCTCACATGGCCATTCTTCTATGTTTTTATCCTAATCTCTCATGAAGACACTAGTCCTATTGGAATTGGACACAACCATATGACCCCATTTATCTTAATCATTTCTTCAAAGGCTCTACTACAAATGCAGTCACAATCTGAGGTTCTGGGAGTTAGGGCTTGAGCATATGAATTTAGGGGGATATAAGCTAGTCTGGATCAGTGATATTCGTTGCTACACAAAGAGGGCTTATCATGGATATACCAGCAGTCACTTTGATATTATCAAAGACACTTCTCTCCCATCATGGCTGATGAGCTATAAAAAGGGGGTTTCTCCATAAACTTTTACTTGGGGGCCAGTATGACAGAGTCCGGGGTGATGGGAGCAAGGGAGCTAAATACTGGACAGAGCGATAGTATCAGGAAGTAGCTATTATAGTGGCCATTGTAATTAATTATAACATATATATACATATTATATATATAGTATTTAAATTGTATGTCTAAGGACTATGGTATATATACATATATGCATATATATGTAACACATATTCAGAGACTACAGTATGTATGTGTGTGTATACAGTATATATGTAGTAGTATGTATCATAGGATAGTTACACAGCTCCTGGTCCCTGAGGACACCCTTTTTTCCTGATCACAACCGTTTATTATATCCTAGACATGATTTTACATTACTCCTAACTTCTCAGTGTTGCAGCCTTTTTAAAGCTTTTCATCCACCAAGTTTACCTCGTTTTACAGGAATGACAGCCCCCAGGAAAAGCACAGATTAGATCGGCACAGGGAGCTATTATTTCAGCTCCCTGGGGATTCACAGCTGTGAAAAGCCAGTGCAGCCCTACTTATTTTCTTTAAATCAACAATGACCTAAACAAATGAACCCTAGTGCCCAAGAAATTTAGCGGCAGTCAGTGCTCTGAAAACTGAAAGACAGGGGCCAGCATGAAAATTTGGTGGCTCCCAACAGCTGAAGCTGCAAGCCAGAATTCATTGATTTGTCCATGTAGCCCTCCAGAGCTCAGGTTTCTCACAGATATTACCAAATTGTTTAAATGCAAATGCTGTAACTTTTTCAGTCTCCCTAGAGAGTTTAACTTTATCATGAGACTGAAGTTTGTGGGCCCATTCCTCATTTAACATTTTCAAGGCGAATGTCACTGCAATGCAGTGCATTTTTTGGAGTTCCTAACAGGAATAAGGCAGTGGCACTTCTAAAGAATTCCTCAAGCAAAGGAGGAGTCAGAGTTCTCAGCAGCACTCAGAAGCCAGGAGGAAAGTGTGATGTAAGCAGATGGAAGAATTTAATTCTGATATGTGCATAGGGAATAATCAATGAAACATCTTTTCCTTTTGGAAAGGATATGGGAAATAGGTCTTCCCAGATTTTATCTTTTCCTTTGTTTGAAACTGTTCTTTGTAATGGCAGATTATGGGGGCTCCAGGAAGGGAGTATACCCAAAGGCAACACTTTGACTTTATACTTGAGAGCAGTATAATGCAGGCAAGCAGAATAGGAGGTTTTGAGGCAAAGGTGCATACAGATGTCAAAACTATAATGAACCGAAGAAGTGAGGCAGGAATCCCTTGTGAGTGGATTGTTTTTGAGGGAGCTTCTCAAAGAATCAGTGTTTACCCTCCAATTATCACAGAACAGGCACCAGGTGAAGTGATTTAAAACAAATGAGTGGGAATAACTGGCTGAAACACCATAGCAAGAAATAATACACTGGCCCAAACGGTGAACTGACCAGCGTGAATATGACTTTTTCTAGACAGTGGTATATGCATTTTTAAAAATTTATTTATTTATTTTGCACTGGGAATTGAACTCAGGATCAGTACAGGCAGGTGCTGTGCCACTGAGCTATATTCCTGGCCCACTGGTGTTTTTATATTACCAGATGGGCATTTCTCTAATTTTTTGTGTTATTAAATGTTTTTGCTTACTTTCTGGATTATTGAAGATTTTAGGTAGTTTTAGATTTTATTGTCTTTGTTATGTTTTATTTTCAATTTGCTTTTAGCCTATTTTGACTCTTTTACTTGCTGGTCAATGTTTTCAGGGATTCTTAAACTTTCATATTTAGCTGTTAGTAAAAGGTCCATCTTTTTTTAAAAATTGGTTAAAAATACATCTTTGTTATGTTTTATTTTCAATTTGCTTTTAGCCTATTTTGACTCTTTTACTTGCTGGTCAATGTTTTCAGGGATTCTTAAACTTTCATATTTAGCTGTTAGTAAAAGGTCCATCTTTTTTTAAAAATTGGTTAAAAATACATTTCTAGTAACTTCTCAGATTTCTGCACCATTGTAAAACTCTTGATTTCACATAAGAATAATCTTGTCCACTTTTAAAGTTGCTACTAGTTTTAATTGTTAGTTCACTTTTATTTAATAGGAAAACAAACTGTCCCAGTTCATGTAGGACTCATAGTTTTCTGGAACATGGAACTTTCAGTGCCCAAACTGAAGAGTGTTGGACAATCCAAGATGGTATCATCCTTTATGGCAATGGCCGATGTGGCAGAGATGATTGGTGTCCCCTACATGTTGTGCCCCATTCTTTTCAAGATCAGAACACATTTTCTAGTCTTCCTTGCATCTAAGTGCAGCTGCTTGATTTTGTTAATGGTCGCAATGTGAGAACTGATGCAGAAGCAAGCATGCTGTTTCCTACATTTTCTTATATGATCTAGATTTCAACATGCAGGGCAACTTCGGGAATGCCAGCTATTGAAGATGGCAGAGTTCTGGGCAACCTGAGTTCACAAATGACTGCATATGATCTAGGACCCACTGTCCATCTTGCTACCACTGCCATGCTGGAATATGGAAACAATATAACTCCCAAAATGATAGAGGTCAGATGCACTAAATTTCTATTTCTCAAAATCAAACAATGAATTCTAGGGAACAGTGAAGGCTAAAAGTAGGAAAAACTTTATTGAGATTGGTAGCTCCTGAAAGACAAGATGGGCCTGAAAGTGGGCAAGCCCACTTCTCAAAGGAAGTTTTATGGAGCAAAATCACAAGGTAGGTACAATGTGGGTCAAAACTATGATTAACCAATAGGATTACAGATATAGCCACTTAGATAATATTGAACCAATAGAGAAGCAAGTCATATAGCAAGCATACATACAAAGAACAAAGAACTTCTTTAGAAGGGATGGATGGGGCAGAGAATGTCTTGGTCAGTCACTGGGGTGACTGCTGTCTATATGGACTTTATTGGATCAGGTGGTACCAATTATCTTATCCCAAGGAGGCCTTGGTCATTATTTCTTTATCTTGAGGCCTGGCCTCCAATAGATGCATCTCTGGCCACAGCTGTAATGTGTTCTCATCCTCTGCACTGACTCCTTTTGAGGTCTAGTCTGTTCTGATTGCCTATAATATTTCTACCTAACCTAGCTTTCTATAATAATGGGATTTCATACTAGAAAGAACCCAGCTTCTATTGGATTAAACCCCTGAGATGTTAAGTTCTGTTCCAGCAGTTAGTGTTACAATTAATATATCCAGTTTTAAGGCATATTTTTAATATTTTGATTATAGTTTTTATCATAATAAAAAACTAGAGAGGTAAAACCACTATTTTTGCCATTCCATGAATTTCTGTAGCCGCCACATAAGTGTTTGCTGTTGGATTTGAAGCTGAAGTAAAAAACAAAATAAAACAAAAACTGAAACTCCAGAAAATATTCACAAAACAAGAAGTACCCATGAGGAAGGAGTAGCCATGCGGAGCAGGCCCCCTGGATGATTTCCTGTCAGAGACGGGCTGGAGTGTAAGCAGGAAATGAAATCACCAATGGCCCTGTTTTCCTTCCATTCTACTGCAGCATAATGAATTTTTATCCCAAGCTCAGAAAAACTCTGTGTTATGCTTGTTGACTCCAAATCTAGAATTTCAACAGAAAGCTAAGCTGGGCTGGCAGCTCTGTAAACAAGAGCATCCATTAGCATTTCACTTACCGTTTTTAAAGATGTAGGGGTACTAATGCTTACCTGTGTGAATTAAATAAGACAATACTTTAAAATGCCTCGCAATACACGGCACCTAGTAGATTCTCTGTAAATCTTATTTTCCGTCTTCTATTGCAAAAACAATAGTTTTAATATTACCCCTTTTGTCTACAGGATGCTGATGTGCCAGGGCAGCATGTCAGTTTGTGCCTTCTGAAACGGTCAGTAGGGATTTGTCTGGGAGGAGTGAGGGGGCAGGAAGTGGAGGGGAGGGCGCTCTGATTCTGATGCTGGATTGACACCTTACAGCAGAAGGGAGGGTGAGTAGGAAGAGATTGAGAATTTGATGTAGCTGTGCCAAAGTCTTGGCCAGGAAAGTGGAGCCCCAGAGCAAAGATTGTTCCTTACAGGACCCCCCGCCGAGCAGCAATGGGCCACTTTAAAGCTCCTCAGTGTCCAGGGATCATCTGGGAGCAGCCCAGGGAAAGCATAGCATAGCCACGAGCTACCTTGCAAACCAAGAAGGCAACCAGCTGATCATCAGCTTCAGAGCCTGAAACAGGTTTCACTGGAAAGGGGAATCGAATTGTGCATTTGCTTAGTGACCAGGGATAGAAGGGGAGGTTTTTCTTAAATATACCCCCCACCCCAAAAGACAACAGTCATTTTACTGTTATTGTCTGTGGGGGTTTTCTCATAGAGTTCAGGTCACAGCTAAAAACCAAACCTCCAGTAGTTGAGCAGTATCTACTGGTGCAAAGTCCTGCTATGACAGATTGGATTTGCATCCAGCCAAGAGATGGAAAAACCTTCCCACATAATAAAATTTAAGCAGTATAGCAGCATGCTTGAGAATTCAGGGCTGCTTGGCAAACGCTGGGTTACTTCCAAGTCCTCCAGATGAAACTGCAAAGTATGTCACAGTGAACGTTCTATTGCCGAGTGAATTAAATCTGGTAATTAATTCTCCACTTTTAAGATATGGAATGAGAAGCTCACTGGCGCCTGGAGCATGTTGGGAGAATGACAGCACTTGAGGATTAGCAGACAGAGACAAAGGAGATTTTGGGGGAAACCTATTTTTGTTTCCCAAGCCCTGAAGAGACAAAGGTTTAAAGGAGAGTTAACAGGGATTTGGAGACTCAGGCTTTGTTTCCAGCATTTTCTCTGGCTCAAGTTACTAGACTGATTTGGATGTCAGTCTTTAGAATGAAAAACGGAATCACCCTATGCTGTTAGTTCTAATCTCCACACAAGAGACTGACAATTCAGATTTTAAATTAATAGTTTGGTTCACATAATTTGTGTGTGTGTGTGTGTGTGTGTGTGGTGCTTTTAGGAAAAAGATGATATTAAAACAAATTGGGTAAGAAAATGAATAGTTCAAGGAAAGAAATCAAAATTACAGTTTAGGAATATGTGACAAGTATGCTAAAATCCACAAAACCCAGAAAAACAAAGTAATACTGTATTTTATTGAACTAAATACCCGAAACACTTCTGTAATACTTTTTCCTTAGTTTTATGTGGTATGCTTTCTGATCTTTTAAATTTTTTTCTTTACTTTTAAGTTATTTATTTTAATATTTATTTGTTTTACACTGGGTATGGATCCCAGGGCCTGGTAAATGCTAAACAGACACTCTACCTCTGAGATACATCCTGGTCCATGACCACCATTTTTTTTTTTAAATAACAATGATTTTGTAATATTATTTTTTGGTAAAGAGTCTATAAAGATAGTTCAGACTTTCTTCTAGCATAGTTGACAAAAAAAAACCCACTGTATTTTAAAATTAGTAGTGAGGATGCATACAATATGTGACATTATATCCTGCAGTGCAAATTTTGTTTTATATTATAACCAGTACGTTTATATGTTGCAGACATGGCAATTCTTGTAATGTCTTTTATGTAATTCTCTTAGGAAAGGAAAGACAATATGTATGATATACTTATAATTAGAGAAATTTTGTTTTGGCTTAGACTCTATGGGAACTGTCAAAAGTGAAATCAGATCAAGTTGGGAAAAAATTAAAATTTTATTGTCATCACAAAAAGATGGATTTTTGTTGGGGCTTGGGATGTAGCTCAGGGCGGAGGCCTTGCCTAGCATTCACAAGTTAGGGCACAGCTTGTAGAGCACAGAGGAGATGTTTTCTGACTATTTTGTGTGTGTCTGGATGATATACATTAATTTTTTTTTTTTAGGGCAAGCAGAGTCGTTTAAATCGATTTGTCTCCAGCAGACTGTTTTAATTTCACTGAATTGTGCTGACGTGGAGGTAAAACTTACATTTGATGTTTATGATTAGAGACATTTAAAGCAATCACTATGACTTAAGTTTTGATTACATGGTTATGAGCCTTTGGCGGTGGGTATATCTAAATTGTAGCCTCCAATTTTATTTGTCTGTAATGAAATTGAAATCTCTGCTCACATACTCGGGGATTGGAAGGATCTAGTTCGCAAGATTTCAAAGCTTGTTTCTACTCTACCATCTAAGTATTTGGCATGCATGTGCCTTCAACTGAAGATCAACAGAGGTCAACCAGCATGACCTCGCCCTGCGTGTTCAGATAGGAAACTGAGTGCCCCAGTGCTGGGTGAGAGGGGCTTTCCTGGAAGCCATTCTTAGTACTGGACACCAGCAACAACTTAACTGTGCCTGGGAGGGATTTCAAAAGAATGCACTAGTTCAAGTGTGATGCATAGCTTAAACCCTGCTTACTCAAGTCCCCAAAGTACCTGTACACGTTCTACATTTGAACCAAAGGAAACGAATGAATGGGACACTGGAGCTGAAAGCATTAACAATTTATGATTGAAATATATTTGTCATGCAAACTTATCAAAATATATCATTTTTGTGAGTGTGTTTCCAGGCAAAGAAAGTGGGCCTTTCTCACTTCTGCTGAGAATCCAAGGAAAATGGCTATGTATGAATGAGATGCCCCAATTTTGAAATAAGACTAAAATCTGAGAGACTGATGTGCAGACCATTGCTTTGTGCTACACAATGCTCTCCAAAATTTGCTCAAAGGTTGACCGTGAGAAAATGAAGGGTGAACTTAGGCGATCTGTGAGTGGAGGAGTTACCAAGGAGAACTCAAAAACAATAAAATCTCACATGATACATTCTCATTTTAGGTATAATCTTTAATTTATATTTTAATTTTAGGAAAAGTGTTATATTTATAAGGTTGCAAAATTAAAAAGGCATAAAAGAACACACATTGAAAATACCTGTGTTCCCAATATCTAGTTTTAAACCTAGAGTCAACCAATAGTGCTGATTTTTTGTGATACAATTCTATTCATGTGAGTTATCATGTCTATTTGTAGTCCTATTTATTCACACAAGTTTTTACTCTAGATGTATGTGTGTTATGATCTTTCCTTTTGAAACAACAAATGCAAACATTACTGACACCATTCTACTCCTCCTTTAATAATATATGTTAAAAATTGTTCCTCATGGACCTAGAATAGCAAAGACAATTCTGGGAAACAAAGGTAAGGCAGGAGACATCACAATCCCTGACTTGAAATTATATTACAAAGCTACTATGATAAAATCAACATGGTTCTGGAATAAAAACAGACCTCAAGATCAATGGAATAGATTAAAAGATATAGCAAAAATTACAAACACACTCAGCTACCTTGTCTTTGATAAAGGAACATGTACACTGGAAGAAAGACAGCCTCTTTAATAAGTGGTGCTGGAAAAAATGGTTTCCATATGCTGAAAACTAAAATTAGATCCATGTCTATTACTATATACTAAACTAAAGTAAAAATGTATCAAAGATTCAAATATTAAAAGATAAACACTAAATCTTCTGAAAGACAAAGAAGATAGAAATCCTGATGACATAGGGATAGGCAGAGTTCAGGAACAAAAATCAAACTGTACAGGAAATACTTCCCAGAATCAACAACTGGGATCTTGTCTTATTAAAAACTGGGATCTTGTATGTCAAAAGAAATCTCCAACAGAGTGAAAAGAAAACCCATGAATTGGAAAAATATCTTAGCCAATTGTCTCTCAGACAAAGGACTTCTATATAGAACATACAAAGAATTTAAAAGTCAGGCCCCCCAAATTCAAAGACCCAACCCAAAAATGAGCATCTGAGATGAATACACACTTGTCAGATAAAGAAACACAAATGGCAAATAAATATATGAAAACTCTTCAACATCAATGGTCATTTGGGAATGCAAATTAAAATAACACTGAGATTCCACCTCACCCCAGAAGAAATGGTCAAGATCAAGAAATCAACTAGTAACAAATGCTGCAGGGGCTGTGGGGAAAAAGGAACTCTTCTCCACTCTTGCAGTAGTGTAGGCTGGTGCAACCAGCATGGAAATCAATATGGAGATTCCTCAAAAAGCTAGGATTAGAGAATCCATTTGACCCAGTTATCCTGCTTCTGGGCGTTTTTCCAGAAGAACTGAAAACATCATGCCACAGTGATATATGTGCACCCATGTTTATAGCAACACAATTTGTAATAACCAAATCTTGGAAACACCCCAAGTACCCATCAATTAAGAAATGGATAAAAAAGATGTGGTATTTTTATGCAATGGAGTACTACTCAGCCATAAAGAAAGACTGCATCAAGGCTTTTATAAGTAAATGGACGCAACTTGAGACCACTCAGTGAAATAAATCAAGCTCACATGTGTAAATACTGCATTGTCTTTCTAGTGTAAAAACTGAAAAAGTATATACGATCCAAAATCTACAGTAAATATTGTGTAAGGCTAAGAAATTGTTCAAAGAAGAAAAGTAATTGTGATAGGGGAAGGAGGAAAGAAGGAAGGGAAAAGGAAAAAGACATAAATTTGTTTCTCTATATATACTTAAGGAGCTAAAATGACTATAGTACTAAATGTATCAGTTCTTGGAAAATAACAGTTAATACTCATATGATTAGATCAATTTTACATGCCTATATATGTAATTCTAAGCAACCCTTTGGAAGGTAACAATATGCAATATTACAACCATTGTCAAATTCCTATCATATTGTTTTGTAAACCTATACTGCTATTGTATTGGGTTTGTTTGTTTGTATCTTTTGCTTTTTGTTTTTCTTTTCTGTGTCTTTTTTTCTCTTAAATAAAAAAATTGTTCCTCATCATAAAAATCTTCCTTATACATTGTTTTCAGTTGCATAATAATCCATCGTCAACATTCATGTAACTTTAGTGGCTATTTGGGTCATTGTCAATTTCCCTATAAACAGTGCTTCACTGCACGCATTCTTTCCCTTAAGTGAGAAATGATGTGAAATCACTTCAGGGATAAATTCTTGGAATTCAATTAGAGGGAACATGTGACTTTCATGTAATATCACTAGGCTGGCATCCACGGAGACTGCACTGGTGTGTTCTAAGATGCGATGGGTAGTGGTGCTTCTTTTCATTTTTGCCAATGTCTTTAGAACTTTTGATTTTTCAATCTGATGGATAAAACATGGCGTCTAAGTGTGATTTTTCAGTGAGCATTTTTTCCAATATGAATGCATCTTTCTCTTCTTCCATGGGGCTCATAGCAACTTTCAGGTCAGCTGGTTAGCAATATTAATTTCATCTGCAATTCATTGTTTTTCTTATTTCACATTTCATTGTTTTTCTTCTCTGTGTGCTGCTTACTTTTCTGCGTGCAGCTCTCTTGGTTATTGTTATGTGTTTGTACGTGGCTTTGTGTATGATGAAAATTAGCCCTTTGTTTGAGACATGGGTTACACCTAATACTGCCCTAATGTTTGTCACTCAGACTTGGTTTTCCTTGGGGTCATTCTTATATTAAAAACTTAAGTTTTATGTAATAAAATTTATTTGCTTTTTCTTTTTGGTTTTGGGTTTTTGTGCCATACCTGGGACTTCTTTGCTCTGGGGTCATAAGAAAATTGTCCTGTAATTTCTTCTGGCTCTATGGTTTTTAGTTTTTAGACTTACATATTTGAGCCATTTAGTTTATTTTGGTGTAAGTTATAATGTATGGCTCGAAGTCTGTTTTTTCCTCACATAATCCTTCAGTCGATTCAATATCATCTCTTCCACATTTATTTGAAACTTCATCTTTGTTATTATTAAGAAAGGCTATTTACATTGATTCTGTATGTACCTGAATATTTTTGAGTCTTTTTGATTTAATCATTTTTTATGTGCCAGTGCTACATTGTAAAATAGCTTTATATTTAGCTTTAAAATAGCTTTATATCTAGAGAGGACAATTCACCCTCACTATTTTCCAGGCTATTCTTGTTTTCCAGTTAATTTGTCCACTAAAAATATCCGGTTGGTATTTGCTTGGAGTCATGTTAAATTTATGGACTAATTTAGGGAGACCTGCTACTCTCTGTATGATAAAGTCTTCTTCTCTGTGATCATAGTAGGCTTTTCTGTTTCTCCAAGTTTTCTTTTTTGTCCTGACTTTTCCCAGTATAAACAATACTTTAATACGTATTTCTCATTTGTGCGAGTATATGTGCAGAACTCATTGTTTGAATCAGAATTGTTACTGACTTAGAAAGTGACTTAAATTTTCATCGTATAAATTTTTTGTGAAGCTTATTCCTAGGAATTTTATTTATTGCTGTCACTATAGATGGTCATTTCTTCTACTTTACTAAGTATTTTTTGATACTGTCTTTGAAGGTTATTGACATCTATACATTAAAATTGTAATCAGCCACCTTATTGAATTCTCTCTTTTTTTGCAATAGTTTTTCTTTTGGTTCTCTTAGTTTATGTCTAAAAGTAACTATGATTTTATCTTCTCCTTTCCAATTTTTATACCTCTAGCTTTCTTCTAATGGTTAATTGCATTGACTAGTACCTCAGAACTCAGTTAAATCATTGAAGGGGTAATGGACAGTCCTGGCATTTTGCTTCTGTTCTCTATGGGAATGTTTCTAGTATTTCTTTAGTAAGCTGACCTTTGGGCCTAGAGGAAGACAATGAGTTGTTTCGTTATTTTAAAGAAGAGTACATGTGCTTATTTTTATTTTCTGGGGTACAGAGATCGGATGAAGGGCCTTCGCACCAAGTACAAATTTAGCCCATTTTTTATTTTGAGACAGATTTTCACTAGTTGCTGAGCTGTCTAGGTTTGGTTTGAACTTGCAGTCCTTTGACCTCACCCTCCCAGAGTGCTGAAATTACAAATGTCTACCACTATGAGTTCTATGGTTTTTTTTTTTTAATTTAAGCATTTATATCAAGAACTAGGCATGGTGGCACATGCTTGTAGTCCCCATC